GGACTCCGGCTCCTTGGCCACTGTGTCTCAGCACCTCTTCCTGTCTCCATTCCGCTCAGACCCCTGAACAAAGCAGGAGTCTGGAGTCCACGGCAAAGACTGAAGTGTTGTGTATATATTTGGGCGTCATCTGTGGAAGCAGCTATTTTGAAAACAAAAAAATAACTTCCCTGCCCACTGAAGAACTTGGTGAGCTCTTAGAAGTGACTTCTTTAACCATGTGAGACTGAAACCTTGGTGAGCACCTCTTGAAAAAAGAAAGGTAGACATAGTACATTCTTTTTCATTGATTCGTAATAATAGGTAAGGTATTTGTTGGGTGCTTATTATATGCCAGGCACGGTATTACCTGCTTTACATCTAGTACTTTATTTAACCCTTACAACAAACTTATGAGGAATGTACTGTTACTATCTCCATTTTATGAATGAGGAAACTGAGGCTCAGAGAGGTCAAGTGACTATCACACGAAGACACAGCTAGTAAGTGGTAGAGCCAGGATCCAAACATGGGTCTGTCTAACTCAAGAGCCCAGATTCTTGGTCTCTAATATGGGCTGAAAGGGAACTTGGAGACCAGCTGGTCTAACTGGTGCTCTGATTCCCTAACTCCTTACAACTTCTTGACTCCTCTCCAACAACCTTACAGAACAATCTCTACTTGCTCTGGGGTAGGGAGAATTCATAAGGCACAAAGGAAAGGGCATGTGGTTGGGAATCAGATGATGCAGGGCCTGCCACTCTCATGGCTTCTATCTGTTGATCTAATCTGCCCTTTGGGAAGACAAAAGAAAGTCAGAGTACAGTCTGTGGAAGCCTCTTCATATGTTAAAAGAGAGCCCTTGCATACCCCTTAAATCTTCTCCAGTCTAACTATTTCCAGTTTCCCAACCATTCTTTATGTAAGACCATCCTAGTCACCTTCCACTGGATATGCTGCAGGCTGTCAAGTTACCTCTTAAATGTGCTTCCAAGAATGGAGTGTCAGAATCCAAGTGGGTCTGACCAGCTTGGAGACAATGGGATAACTCCCTCCCTTGATCTTCACATGTTTATCTAGTTATGCAGCTTAAAATTTCCCCCACTTCTTTGGAAACCCCAACGTACCCTGAAAACACAGTCAACAAAAGCCTCTAAGTTATTTTGCTCTTGTTGGTGCCTAGGAGAGCAGGCCAAAATGCCAAAAATCAATTCACTGAGAGCCAATTGGCTAAAATTCTATTTACCAAATGACTGATGTTATCATTGCGTTCCACAGGTATTGAGCGCCTACTATTGTCAGGCACTGTTCTAGGCGTGGAGATAAAGCAGTGAACAAAATAGACAAAAATTTCTGTCTGAGTATAATGGAATTGTTCCAGCCACTTTTGAGTTCTTCTGATTCCTTTTGAATGTCATTTCAACAAAGCCTCAATTGGCATGTAAGCCTTAATTTTGCATTTCTAGCATTTGGTGAGAAAAATTCAGCATTTCATATTGATGTGATTAGTTTGGATCCCTTTATATAATTTTCATATTACTGGCAAATATATAAGATAATCTGATGCTGAAACTGATGAATTTGAATGAATCATTGAAAATGATTAAATATATTTATGGGAAATTTAAGCCTATCTCCATCAACTTTTGAAAAATTGGACATTCTGTAAAAATTCTGCTGTGAAGATGGAGTGAAAACCAATCTGTTACAATGTCACAGAAATCTTCAATACCAATTGTTGTAAACTTTATAAATAATTCTTAAAGGTTTGGGTTTATTGGTAAATTTAATCTGATGAGTTAATCATTGGGCAAATTGGTCATTTGACAAACTGATTTTTAGCAAATTGGTCACTGTCTAACTGATTTTGGCAAACTGGTATTTGTTAACCAATTAAACCAAAATTTGTGCAGAAAAATCTAATTAATTTATTTGAGTCAGCATTTGAATCCTGACCAGTGAGCTCTTTCTGAATCCTGACTCTATCACACTACAATCTTACCAGGCACATGTCATCCAGCAATTTGTTCCTCATGTTATGAGTATCCTTAGGTGAGTCTTTAAATCTAATGGAACAAAGAGAGAAGTAAGTTCCACTGGAGACTTCCATCCAGTTCGTCGATGGTAAGTTCACAGTCTTTGAGAACTATCTTTCAACAAGTTATAAATCTACCTAATTTCCCTATCACCAGCATCATCATAAGAATGTAATAATACCTAAGCTTTATTTCACACTTTCCACCTTTCAGGTAGTGTGTTAGGTGCTTTACACACATACCTCATTTAATCCTCATCCAGATGAGGAGAGTAAGACTCAAAGAGGTTAAGTAACTTGCCCAAGATCATACAGCTAGTAAGTAACACACTTTCTTTCCTCTGGCAGTTAGATGTTTATTGCAACACTAAGCTTTGACGTTTAGTTGTTGTCTAGTGGATTTATCTGATAGATAAAGCTACCCGAAAGATGGAATATTGAAGCCAATACATATTAACTAAGACACTTAAAGTTACCAGGCCACATTAACATGTTCCTTTCATTCGGTTGGTTGATTTAGCAGAGGATGAGTCCACTCATGGTCTTCTCTCAGAAGAGAAGACCCCATCCTGGTTCCTATCTCAAATACAAACACACCTCCAAGGTATAAGTAGACTGGATTCAATCCTGGCAAGACCTTGCCTACTGAGACTTCCAATCTTAACTGCCAATCTTCAGTTGTAACATGGTGATGTTAGTACCTAACACAAGGGCCCCTGGCAAGGATTTAATGACATAATATATAAGGAGTGCACAGCTCAATGTCTGGCATATGGTAGACGATCAAAGGTGGTTCTCTGCCCTTCAAGCTCCTCACGTCTGAGTGACTGCAGAGCTACTTGAAATGTCTATCCCCATGAGACAGAGAAATACAATGAAAGTTACATCCATAATATATATTTACCTAAAAATTCTATTATGTTATTAAACTTATGTTATGTTATATTAAACTTGCTCTAATATATATGTCATCCAAAATTAATACTCACTGGTACTATTTTTTTAAGTGAACATTATTAACTAATTCTGTAAGATCTGACTCAGGAATGGCTTCGGGCATGACATCCTCATGTCTTGCTCCTCAGTCAAAGAAGCGATAAACTCTCCTCCAGTACAAAAGATGACAAGAACAAAAACTGGGCAGAACAGGGAACTTCACTGATGAATAAGGTGATAAGAGAAGAATGGGGATCTTTTTTCTCTCTTCATGACAGGTCCTCAAGGCAATTTGCCAACCATATTAGACAATGGAGGGGGGAAAAGGCACAGCAATATATCATGATCCCTCCTCAATGATTGAACTAAAAGAAAATTCATTTCCATTGACTTCAAGTACAGGCTGCTTAAAAGATTCTCCGGGTGGTTTATACAGGAGTGCACTTTGATTTGTGAAGCAGATGTAATTATGAGTGGTTGCATGGTACTTGATAATATTTTGAAATGCCCAAGGGGAAGCCATTATGTAAAACAATCCCCACTGAAGAATTCCTAGGCAAACTAATGACAATGAAGGAATTTGTTCTTCCTGTACTTTGGATTTTCATCCACTGGAAAAGTTTAAAATGTAGAACAGTAGTATAAAGGACAACACAAGGTTACTTATGACAAAACCAAAGATTCCTTCTTGTGTTGCCATGGAATGCCTGCAAACATGGAATTCCTCTGGAGCACTATCAATCTCATCTTGCTTTACCAGCGAAATGCAAATTTTGCAAATGGGCTGAACCAGACAAAAATAAGCCTAATTTCCACCTTCTGTAAGATGGCTTCTTATCTGCTTTTTCCTATGAGCATCCTGAGTCTAAAGCTAGATTAAGTCCCCCCTATGGTGAAATCTATGTATTATAATACTTGTAAGCATTCTAGAACTCATATCTTTACTCAAGGATGACTGAATAAAGAATGAGGCAATAACGAGAACTATGCGTAATTCCTTAAGGTGAGACCGTAGGATACGTAGAGAGTTCTGGAATAAGATTGGGGTCCCTCCTCTCTGTGGTTCTGTTTCTAACCCTTAACTCATGCAGCTAAGGAAATAGTTTTGACCACTGCCTGCTAAGTTGCCTGACGCGTAGTAAATACCTAACAAACATTTGTGGAAACCATCAATGAGGATCCTTTTATGTGTCCTACCCTGGCTTGCCACCTGGGCTACACTGTGGTGCCTACATCTTGCTTTAGGGTCCCTATTAATTAAATGAGCTAATATTAATAAACATTTAAAAAGGGTATCTGGCACACTGTAAGCATTTTATAAGTAGAGTTAAATATAAACAGACAAACAAATAAGTAAAATATTACTTGCTCAAAGTTTAGTGTTAATGGCTGGATTTTTCGTACTTGATTTCTATGAAAGGCTTTGCTTTTCCCCAGTATGTGCTGCAGGATACTGTAAGCCAGTTTTCTTGTTAACATGGGGATGAATGTGGGATATTGTTGCTCGCCAGATATCTAGCCTGAATTCTCTACTTTGAGTCTGTGTTTTCATTTCTATTTATGTTCTGTCTGTGGCAATGAATGGAATGTTTTCAATCCCCTTTGTCAGGATAAGTCATTTCAGCTTAAAGAGATCCCCCATGCATAGCACCAGGCTCCCATTAGACCTCTCCTGGTAACAGTAGTTCAGAGGACTCTTGATGAGTCATTTCGTGTCCCAGCCTGTGAGCTGCACATGGGCTCAGAGTGAGGCAGTGAGAGGACCTCTAACACTGAAGAACTCAACCCACTTTCTTGAATTTATTCCCTTAAAATGTCACTTCCTGAAGAAGGGAGAGGACGAACAGAGCAAAGAATGGAACAAAACTGGAGCAAAGTTGAGTTTTCTTATTCCCTGCCCTTTCTCTATTATAACATATCTAAAAGTTGTAAGCTTTAAACAATTAAGGTTTGAGGGTACACTGTCACCAGTTATGGGTAAGTACACTGATCATATGCTCTAAAGTATTTGAAATAAACAAGTGAGGCTAAAATAAAAAGTTAAGCCACATATTTCTGTTCTTTTATTTTTAAACCAAAAAAATAGAGTGAAATTACTGAATTTAATGTTTTACAGGTGTCAAGAAGTTACATAAAGGTCATACGTTGCATTGTAAAGAAAGTAAAATCTAAGGTACAATTTGATGTCTTCTCACTAACATTCACCTGATATCCATCACAGTTTTCTGTAATCCTTGGCTTATCAGTAGTCGTCATTAGAACACGTTTTCTTAATTCAAAGCCCTTATCTGTGTCAGACCTCTGCTGAGCCTAGTATGTTCTACTTTAGCTCCAGAACTTCAGGCCAATTTAGCTGTTAAATTTCTTTTTGGGTTACTCCTTCCAGATTCCTCTGCTTCTCTCCATTCTGATCAAAACCAGAGTAAATGACTTCAGTGTACTTTTTCAGTCTCTTCATCACCTAGGAGCACTCTTTAACTTTTCCTCAAAAATTGGACTTAAAATTGCTTTCACAAAGACTGTCTGATTATGTGGAAGAGATTCATGTAGAAAATGCAATTTTATAAAAACAGTGAGCTGTGCTTACTACATATGCAAGAAAACATGGACATGATATGCCTACTGCCCCTAAGGGAAAAGGCATGCAAATGTGGAAAGATGAAAAGCTACTCTCTCAAAGGCTTTAGCTTTCTGGGGTTGCCTACATTTTATCATCTTAGTGATAAATATCTGAGTGAGAGTAGAAAGAAAGACATGCTAGGGGAGACAGGAAAATTGGGTTAAGTTAAATGCAAAGCTGTGGACTTGAGATTTTTACTTTTCTTCTTTCCTTTCATTGAAGAGGACAAAGCAATGTGCATTGATAGGAAAACATAGTCCAGAGGCAATGTGGTAAACCTCCTATCTTCTCTCCTGTGATGTGGTTGAGGAGAAAGGATGCTGGGGGTCAGGGCAGGAGGGTGCAGAGGAGAGGAAGTTTAGTGGAAAGAAAGAAATGGAAGGTGAGGGGACAGAGTAGTTTGAGAGGAGGGAGAAGAACAAAGCAAGTAAAGGGAGAGAAGGAGGGAGGCCAGGAGCCAAGGGGAGACACTGTGGCATCACCTAAAACAATTAAAGCTTTGAAAATAAGACCATGCAGGAGGCACTTTAAAAAGACACAAAGTCCTCTTCAATACAGGGGCAAATGAGAAGAGAAAAGGAGCTAAGAACAAGAGGCATGGAAGACAGAAGAGAAAGGAGAAAGCCAAACCTCACCTCTTAATCATTGTGCCCGAGGTGTTGAAAGCATTTTATGAAGTGTGCAGTTTCAACTGAATCCAAATTCCTGGCATTGGACACAGGGCCAGGGGCCGCTTATGAGAAACAAACTCTCTTTTTCCGAAAATGAAGAAAATTCTGGTTTTCTATGAGGTTTTCTCTATTTTGAATAATCTAGACTCCTTCCATTCATTTACTGAACAACACTGTAGTAACAGGAAAGATGAGGTCAGGCCTGACCTATAGTTTAACAACATCTGTCAGAAGACCCTAACCCACAAATCCCAGCCAATGGCCCATTCTGTAAGTGTTGTCCCCAAGAAATACATGCACCCACAGCCACCCTGTTGTCCATCATAAAGTTGTGCAGAATGTCTCGGTGAGATGATAGGGTTTGAAAAATGATACAGTATATATTTCCCCAAACACAGGGAAAGAGAGGTACTGTATACTTAATAAATGGTGCTGCCGTGATCAACAACTGCTTGAAGAAAACAGAGCTAGATCCCCACCTCACTCCATATACAAAAATAAATCCCAAATGGCTTTAAATGTATTAAAAGAAAGAAGAAGAGAATTTAGAATTTTGGGTTATTTTAGAATCGACAAGCCCAGACCTTCCTCAATAAGTTTTAAAAACCTAGAAGTCATTAAAAAACAAAAAAGATAGGCATATTTGACTATATGACCATTCCAAAATCTTGTATTAAAAAAATACCACAGAAAATAGGGCTGCTTGTTGGTGCCAATGATTTGTTAGATAATTCCACTCACTGAATTCAGGGAAAGTAATCATTGAAAATGGCAACATAGGATCTGATGTTCAGACGCTGTAAGTATAAAAAGAAACATTTACTGAAAACTATAAATATGCTTCATGTTTCCCTGCACTGCCTGGGTCTGGCCACCTGTCTTGGGCTCTCTCACCCTCTGATTTTCATGGTTGGCTATTCTAACGGGCCTGGGGGTTACTGGAAGGCCACAAATACTATTAAAGTACTTATGTCTTCCTCAGTTCATATTTTAAGAATCTCAAAAGTGCGCAGAATATAATGAGAGTGCAGTGTGCATGAATTATTTGTGTAATGAAGACGACAATGAGGGGGAGAAGGAACTATACCTCAAGCCAGACAAATTTACCCTCAACATAGTTGTGATAATATTCTACCATTGTTTTTTTTTTACTAAGAATACATTTATTGATATATAAAGTATATAAACATTTTATGAAAATATCCCTTATAAGATGAATAAGAGAACAAGTAAAAGTGAAAAACCACCACATGGAAATTATATCTGATTCCCCATCTCCATTTTAGAAGTGAGAGAAATGAGAAGTCCAGTAATGCAAGCTTGCAAATGGATTCCTTCAAGTTTTTCAATTTTTTTAATAAAATGGCATCAACTGCTGAAAGCATTATGACCTTTGTTATGCTACATAATACTGATACAAAATGTGAATAGTACAAAGTTCATTATATATAATATAAGGTTTTAATATATTACATTTGTTTCTACATAAACAGACTATAAATATATGTGCCATAGCATGTCTTACAGTCATGGTTCCCAGCATCTCACACTATGGTATCAAATGAAAAATACATTTTCTTTTTTAAAGAGGAAAGAGGAAGGGCAGAAATCAGTAGAAATAGCTTTACATGTTAAAAGTCTAAATAACAGATGTTGTTATAACTTGGGCTATAAAAAAATTTGCAATCTGGCTATAATTATTCAGAGAGTGAACAAATCTAATCAGCTTTTACTAGGGTGTAGAGGCCAAATTCCTAAAGTACTGACTAGTTGGGGGTGAAAGGGGCGGGGGATGGGGAAGGCCCAGGGGTTGGAGGGAGAAGGAACAAAAAAGTAAAAGCCTTCTTGAAGTTTTGACACCACAGCTTGATACCCAACCGACTGCATTCAGGCTCAGACGTATCACATCAGGACAGACATGTGGGTATTCATCCAGAAGAAACCAGAAGCTGGTTTATACAGTCCGAACTCTTCAACACGACAGGGAGCCTCCGTCCAAATGTCCCTTCTTTGTGGTGTTCTGAATAAAGAATCAGCTTGGGAGACAAGGAGCCAGAGCTGCATCATTTCCTTCCTGGGGCTTGGCCAGGAGACACGTAAGAGTCCGGAAGGAACTCTCATTAGGAGTCGGAAACAGCACAAGGAACTCTCATTTAGCCCAACTGGGAAGAGCACGCAACCTTCTAAAACCAGTAACCTCGTCTGAAGCCTTTACATTTCCTAAGAGACCCCATGCCCACCTTCACCATAGCCAACACAATGCATTCGCAGACTCCATTAGGCCTTCAAAGTGAGCCAACATCTTCCTTCCTATCAATCCAAACCCCACACGTAAGACTTGGCTCAGGACCCACATCCTAAACAAAGTTTCTGAGATGGACCCAGACCTAAAGGTCTTGCCCATCTTCAACACCAAAAGCACTTCCATGGCCTGGCTTATCTTCCAGTTTTACAGAAGTGTCAGCTCCCCAGGTACTGCTACTTCTTGCAGGACGAAGTCATTTCCTGAACTTCTTTTGTTTTAACCCATGGAGAGATCCACAGTAGGGGGCATCATACGTGCTTTTTAAATGAATGAAAAAGAGAATAAGGTCAACACTGGAAGAAGATACAAACACATTCTTGGGTCATAAGCGTCTTCTCAGGAAATGCCTAAGGGACTGGCTCCCTGCAGTCCGAGGTCCTCTTTTTGAAATGAAAATCAAATGTGGCTACTTCCTGGTGGTGGAAAGAACAACACTTGAAAATCTGAGCAGCACCTCTCATATGATTTCCAGGAGTAGGGGACGTGGGTGCCTCCTTTTAAACAGGAGGAGAGCTCAGTGTGGTCCCAGAGTCAGGCTGGAGAATCTGGGCCGCGGGGCCAGCTTGTGGTCCAATCTCCACCAGCTTTAAAAGTTCTGCCTCCTCGCTGGAGTACACCGTGGTGTCTGTGTCATCAGAGTGATACCCAGACTGGTAGCCGCTCGTCTGGTTTGAGCCTTCAGATGCCACAGACTCCTTGCTTTTGCTGGGCATCAGTCCACTGTGGAAGAAACAGCAACCAAATGAGTGGGCAGAGAGAAGGCAGTTCTTTTGCTTCTTACCCTAACCCCAATCCCAACCACTGTAATCTTTCTGGAGACACCAGCCCCTCTCTCTCCCACTTGTTAATCAACATATCAGGTTAACTCAAACAATGTCTATTTTCAGGTACTAGCATGAATTAGTAGTTTCAGATAAGTCCTCTTATTCAGGTCCAAGTCTTTCAAGGCTGAGATGAGATGAAAGGCTGTTTTCCTGAGTTATGCAAAGGCTCCAACCAATGGAACATTTTTATGGCCTTGCAGATTGACAAGTTTGTATACAACAATAGGAGCCAAAGGGACTCTTGCACAATATGAAAAGAAATTGGGATGTTCTGAAAGTCCACTTGTGATTTCCCCACACCGTCCATCAGGGGATTACAAGGCCTGTGTTTGGTGTTAATAAAGTTCTTGAGCAACTTTAAACTTTAATAAGTCAAAGCGCGTGTGCGCAATCAAGCCAGACATATCAAAAACTGCTTTTTTACTGATCAAGACCACATTCTTTGGAAGAACTCAGGACTGGATCACTCAGCAGCAACTAGAGAATGTTTTCACGGCCTGGAATCATGGCAGACGGTGATCGTGTCAAAGCTTAGAAGTGTAGGCTGTGTTGAGCTAAAACTTCACGATTTACATTTTCTCAAGTTATTCTGAGATGTGGGGTTTTTTTCCCCTTAATAAGTGTTTTACCAAATTATTCATATTAAAAGTTGCAAAAAGGATTTTATTAACTCTGTGTTCGGACATGATTTAAAAGTTATTTCAAACAACTATAAGTGCAATTTTTCTCTTAACCCAGCCTCAAAAAAATGAGTGTCTCAAACAGTGGCATGGTACCTGGCACATAGTCATTGATGAATAAATATATTTTGAATCAATGAATGAAACATATGATTGGCTCTCACAGTTTCTTACCTTGGGCCTAAGGCAAACAATAAAATCATACAATGGTACATTTTCACATTTTTTTTTAACATGAGCATTGCTCAATAACCCATGGGTGTGCTCATTTCATAAAATAGTTAGATTATAAGTAAAACAAAATCTTCTCTATTCTTACCTAGAGTGAACCCACTAGCAAATAAATAACTACTCCGAATCCTATTATTCTTATAAATACAAATTTTCATTTATTTGCTAAGGTCAAAGCAGGCAAATCTATTCAAAACAACTACAAATTCCTACAGAACAATATGGAAGAAATTATATTCAAGACAAATTTAATATTTTTCTCACAATTAAGTGTTTAATCATTCAGCCAATAATATTTAAGTATCTTATACATACAGATATTGGCTGATTTATGTATCATACTTCTTAATGACAAATGCACCCATTTATGTACAGGCGTGAAAATTCTTCAGGGTCCACAAAGATTTTAATCATCTTGATAGTTTAGGGATCACATCCAATGACCTATTTGTTGTTTATCCAGTGCCATACAAACCATAGTAAATATGCTCAGAAATTCCCTAGTATCCACAAATTCTCATAAAAACTGACCAAATCCTCTAATTTCTTTCAGATTCTTTTTTAGATTTGCCACTTAATTTATTTTTATTTGATTTGTTTCAGTTCTTTATTAGTTCAGTTGATGCAAATTTGCTCAACCAACAGAGACACAAAACTGGAAAGCTCTGCACTTACATTGAATGTCCTAAGTTCCTTCCAAAAATTCCTGCTGAAATTTGTCTTTTCTATTTGGCTGAGCCTTACCTAAAAGACGGAGCTAATTTGGTTCTGTCTTCCAAGGTTTTCAGCTCTTCTGACGCAAGAACCATACCACTGTCCGTCTGGTTGTCCTTTTTAAGAGACAATGAGATGGCACAGTTGACTGAGTGTGTACACTGACCAACTAGGTAATAAACTGATTTCTTAACCCATCTATCAGACAACACGTTCCAATGTTCTGCAGAGGGAGGTAAACATATCATAGCCAGAAACTTTGCAAGCTGCAAGAGGAAGCAACTGCTTCCTACCAGTAGACTCAGGCCTGAAGAAGAGAGGAATTTAGGAAGAAGCAGCTGAGGAGACCCGTTTCCATCCCTCTTCTCACAATGATACTATTTACACTTGAGTGTAATGAAGCTAGACTATCTTGAACCTTGGACCAAGGGCTTTACTTATGGCAAAACCAAGGGAGACCAAAAAGATCCATCTGCATAATGACCCCCATGACGCATACCCTCAAAGACCACCTTATAATGAGGCTCCAAAACTCTAATGCTTAGGCTAATATTTATCTAGCTAATGTTTCATCCTTTGTATTATTTCTAAGACTATTTTTAAAATATGTACTTACATCTGGGATTACTTTTACTTCTGGTTCTTCTAACGGGATATCTTCAAATGTTTTTACACTCACAGGCCGGCTCTTTCGCTTACTGTTCTGCAGATACTGACTGCAAAAGAACAAATATTTATATTTTAGTGGTGGTATATTTGGCTGCAGATACCACAAATGATACCTAAGTTCATTATCTTTCAACCACAAATTTAATAGTGACCTTCAAAACATCCTTTGGAAAAAGAAAAACAAAACAAAAATCTTTCTCTGCTAGCACACGTTGAAGGCTTAATTTCCTGTGAAAGTCCATTTAAAAGTATAATATAACTGAGGGGCCTCGATGAGCCCCTGTTCCTTTGAATCCTACTTCTGAGGTCAGCACTGGACTAAAGACAAAAACAGCAAATTGAGTGATCAACAGCCTTCTACTTGGCTTCCTGATCGCATGTGACGCCTCCATTGAGCTCTCCACATGTTACCGAGTGTTTCACACCTTTCTGGTCATTCCCTAGGAAAGTTTTTCTATATTATGCCCACAGAGCAACCATTTAATGAAAGATGGGCAGAGGAAACACCTGCAGATCTCACTGAACCTTACCTGGGGCCCCACAGGATCTGGAGATGAACTCCTCCTTCCACATGTAAAGTGGCTTAGTGTGTAGAGGGGGCAGTGGGCGGAGTCTCACAATCCCCTATTCTCAGCCCACAGAGTCACTGGTCTCAGGAAAGGGCAGTGGTTCAAGAGTTGCAAGATATTTTGTCTATCTCAAAGTCTACCTTTGACTGCCTACAGAAGCTTGGGAAAATCATGATGATTTCTATGCCTCTGTTGCCCCATCCTCAAAATGTATTGGCAATAGCTTTCCCTCTCTCACTCACAAGGATATCTGGAGGATGAATGAGATGGTCAATGGTGGGTGGTAAGTGTTCTTAGAAAGAACGACACTCTATCAACTAAAGTCTCTTTCTCTCCTTTAAATTCCAAAGGGTGCCAATTTCCTTGAGGAGTCCAAAGAATAGGACTTGTGAGATAACACAACACCTGTTCCTTACGAGTGTTCCTTTCCTGCCATGTGACTTTGGGTGGGTCTGAGAGATCCTGTTAAAATCATCAAAGGCCCAAGTGGAGAGAAGGGAAGTCCTTTCCACAGGAAGGGCCTACAAGGACAGCAAAGACACTCTTCACTCTTATCCCTGCATCCGTCCCACCATAGGCAGCCTTCTGGGCATGTTAGCTACTCCTTGTGTTTTCTGTGACCAAGTGCAGTGAAGACTCACTTGGGCCAAAGGAGGAGAATAGAAACAGAGTTTCCCTCCTCTGCCCCTGGAGGTTGGTTCCTCCCTTCAGAGGGGAGAGAATGAGATTCACCAATGACATGCTCACTCAGGAAACTCTACAAGAAAGAGGACATGATATACGAGGAGAGAGCAAAGCCCACTTTCTCCTAAGTCCAGTCCCTAAAAGGGATGGTTGCCAAAAACTACTGGCACCATAATCAATAGTTCACTCATTGGGGAATCCCTTACCGAGAATCTACCACATGCCAGGCACTGTGCCAAACACTCCTCCACCATTGTCTCCTGGCATCTTTACAAAGGGTACCTCTCTAGGCGTGGGTATTATCCGAACTTCAGATGAGAAAACTAAGTCATAGAAAGGTTAAGAAACTTGCACCAAAATCACATAACCGGAATATTTGGATTATTATTTTGAGGGCAATAAGCAGCCACTGAAGGATTTTAAGCATGAGATCGACAAGGTCAGATATGCCTTAGAAAGATGACTCTGGGTTGAGGAGGATAAAACCAGAGGCAGTGAAACCAATTAGGGGGCTATGCTTCTTTTCTAGGATAAAGAAGGGCAGCCTGACTAAGGAAAGGTGATGCCCACGGGGTTTGGAGAAGTGGACAGATTCCAGAGATATTTGGTATGTAGAATCAACTAGAATTGGTGAGCTAGGGCAATAATGCAGATGTCTTAGAAAGGACAGCTCCTTGATTTCCGAGCCCAATAATTCCAAAACTTGCATGGCCCTTCATAGTTGACAAAGCATTTTCCCGAACATCGCTGCATCTGCTCATCACAACACTATTTTGTAAAATAGGTTTTTATATTATTTCCTATTTGGAGATGAGGGAGCTAAGGCTTAGGGAGGAAATGGCTAGACCTGGGATTCAAACTTAGGTCTTCAGACTCTAAAGCCCCTGCAGGACTTTTTTTTTTTAACCCTATTCCACATTGGCACCTTTGGAAAAGTACCCGGAAGGAAAAGGCAGAATAGAGCAATGGTTATGATTGTTCAAGTGTTTATTAAGCAAGCACTGTTCTCTCCCCTGTGTGTACTGACTGTGCGGTGAGAAGGGATGGGAAGGAGGGGGGATGTGGGGTGTGACATAGACAAAACGTGGAGAGAGGACAGTTTTGCTTCAAGCAGTCTAAAATCAGAGCCAAATTCAGGAACATCTAGCCAGCAGGCTGTCCCAGGCATCAATCTACAAGGAGCATTTAATGATCACTAGCAATTAACCAAAATGCAGAAAATGGTATGTGCCAGAACCTTTCTCTGGGAGAGAACTGAAAAGAAATCTTTGATAAGCTGCTTGGAGTGGGAGGCGAAACGCCCAGGGGAAGTGACAGAGCAACCGCAGATGGTCCCGAAACTGCCCTCAAAGAAAGATGAGTCCAATTAATATGTGTTTTCTTGCAGGAAGCATGCAAACTTGGGGCCAGAGCTGATCCCCAGGGGAAATGAGAGACAAAGCTAAGTCTAGACACTAGCGCTCCTTGCTCCTCACCCTTCCCCCACACACCTCTCAGCCTCTTCTCTAAATAAATGCTGAGCAAATATTTTTAAAATAAAGAGGCAACAAATCATGGGCTTGGCTCCCACAGTAATGTCTCTGTCCGCTCTATTTATAATGCAATGGAATTGAAAATTATAAGGAGGAAGCAAAGGAGAAAGATTCCTCAGCTTTTCTAATTGGCTGGAAATGTGAAAGAGGAGAGAACAAGTCCCCTGAAAGGTACCCTAGCCTCATCTCTTTCTCCCCAGGGAAGCAGAACCAAAAGAAAGCATCAAAATGAGGTGTGCCATGTACAGATGCCTCGACTCTGCCTTTCTTTTAACCCAGATGATTAAAATGTGGCCGGGGAGTCTTACTTTTATAAAAGAAAAACAGGTGGAGGGGGTTGAGAGGGGATGCAGACAAAAGATTCCAATTTCCATTTTATTTTTCAAATTATGGCTGGATAAAAGAGAAACTGGACTGGAAAGACCAATTCAAAAATCGCAGACAGAAAATCGGAGCCAGGCCTGTGTTCCGAGTGTGGTGTCACATTTGTCCACGCTTCTGGGGATAAATGTTAGCAGCCCTGTTTTAGATCCAGCATCGCATTTGGCACTTCCATTACACAAATATGACTTCATCAACTCTCAGCACCATATGCAAAGCGCCTAAGCCAGCCAAGAGGCTGCCGGCTTGGGTCCTCGCTCCACCTGGTCATAGAAAACCCAAGGAATATAATTCATGATCAAATGGCTTTCTGATAAAGGAGGAGGCAATTGTTGCGGGAACAATTACCACACCAGAAGGCCAGCTGAGCTTGAACTAAGAATTTTTAAACATGGAAGTGGACCTGTAGGCTCTTATCTCACTACTCTTTCTCTCTGAGGGCCCCTCCTTGGTGTGGGAGGAAACAGCACCGAGTTAGATATCAAAGGAACCGGATTCACCTCAGGGATGTGATTTTAAGCAGCTCACTTAACAGCTATCATTTATTGAGTGCTTTCTAAGTGCTGAGCATTTAGAAATACATTATATCATGTAATTCTCAAAAACAATCATTTTGAACAACACGAGTGACCTTGCCTCATTTCACAGATGAGTAAACTGAAGGAGAAGTTAGACAATCTGCCCACAGCTGCTAAGAGGCCGACTTGGAAGTCCAACCGGGTTCTATCTGACTCTAAAATCTGGATCTTAACCACAACACAGTATTCCCCTCAGGGAATCACCCTGAGCCTCACGTTCAACATCGAAAGCAAAAACGATAATAGCTTCTCCCTTGCCTAACTCCGAGAGTTATCGTGTGGGCAAAATCTGATAACATAAGGAAAAGTTCTTTGAAAAATGCCGAAGGTTCTTGACACAGATAGAGTGGGCAGTTCACTTGTTCTAACCAGGCTGAGCTTTCTTCTCTCTCATCGCAAGGTTCCTGCTGCCCTGCGTGATTCTCTGGGGCATCCTGGCCAGGGTGACGCCTCAGCTGCATTCTGGCAACCCGGCCAAGAGCTGGACACATGCGAGAGCTCCGTGCCCCTCCCTCAGCCAGAGCACTCAAGAGGGCAGCCTGGGTCCAGTTACTCTAGGAAAACACCCAAGGGTTGGGAAAAGAAACAAAGCAAAGTGAAGCAGTCCCAGGCTTAGTAAAAGGCAATTTTAATATCATATCGTGGAAAGTCATATCAACTTTTTCCTTATGCACAGGTGCTGGGAGAGAGAAAAAAAGAAAGCGGCCTTCAGAACCCTTTTACAAATCAGGAAAGGACTATAGGGCATGTGTTTCAAATAAGCCCAGAAGTCCCATTATGCAAATAAAATGCTGAATATCAGGCTTGGGAGGGGCTTCTGAAGATGTGCTCTCCAGTCTAAGTCAGGGCGCATCCCCACGGCATACTGCATCCCAGCCAGAGAGGCATAAGTGTGTTTTCACATATGCATAGAACTCTTCCTTCCTGAATCTTTCCTAAGCCATTTAATTCACATTAATAAAAGAGTACACGGGGGTAATTTAAATACAGATGTCTTTGTAAAATGGGTCTCTTTTTCTGGAGATTAACAAACTGTGGCATGCCAGCTATTTGCAGCTGCAGGGCTTAGAATTCTGAAAGGAAGAGCCGTGGCAGCAATGTGGACTACAGATGGGAAGAAGCTCACCTACCCAGGCCCTCTTCAAGGAGCACTTTCCTTTACGTTCATCTCAAGGCTAAGGTTCGATGTGGAAGCCGGATGCAGCAGCTTTAGAAAACGTCTCCTTCCACCCCTCCTCCCCAAGATGACCCTGAAACTGCCCTGCCACCTCCAGGGGATGTTGACCATATACAGTACCTGATTCCTGCTGTGTTGTCATAATGGAATTTGGGGTCACACACTTCCTCTTCCTCCATACAGGAAACAGGTGAGGTAGGCAGAGAGAGTCCCGAATCCTCTTCCATGCTCAAAGTCTCTGATATGGGAAGAACAATGTAGTCTTTGCCATCCTGAAACAATAAACACAGAGTGCTATTGTTATGGCTTCAGTCCTTCAAGAGTCTTTTCATGAGAAACAAACGCCATGGGGGCTTCTTGGTTACGGGGTATGTTGCTTTCCGATCTGAATGGAGAACTTTAAGTCAACATGAGAAACGGTTTGTCAAAAACAAAAGGGCACTTGAAAGGGATGTGTAGATGAAGGCATATTAAAGGAGTCAACGAAAAACAAGACAGGTAAGTGGACTACAAAGAAGTGCGGCTACAATGAAGACAAAGCGAGCTGTGGTCAGACCCACGCAGAGCTGAGAAACCATTTCTTCACAAAGCCCTATCCACCTGAGCCAGGTCTTTTAAAGGGCATGTCATTCCAATTTTAGCCTTTACATTTCAAGGCAATGGAAAAACTGATGACGGTCTTGAGAAAAGCAATAAATGTGCAGGAAAATGGGTCTTCTGAGAAAAGGTTGCACAATTTAGCATTATTTCATCAAGAGAAAGAAGTAAAGGGCAATTTGATACCTTTAAATGTTTGGAAGGTTTATTGATAAAAACAATTGTTGACCCCTTGTTGCCCAGCTGTTCAAAAGAAAAGCAGGAGGAAATTGGCTTCCATTTACTGCAGTGAGAGGCACTGACTGGAGATTAAATAACTTTCTAATGGTAAAGACGACCACTCTGAAATCCTCCAGTGGAAGTGATGGGGGCCTGGGATTTTACCAAAGAAAAAGCCATCTATTTTGCAGGGTTCAGATGTGTTTTTGCCTGCAGAATGTATTAAAAGTTCCTTGAAATTCCACCCATTGTTGATATTCTGTGGATCAACAAGTTTTTGCGTGTTTTTTGGTTTGTTTTTTACTTTAAAAGACCATCTGAAAACAATAAAAAGATAAGTCAGTGGGAATAAGAGTAGTCTGCTCCTGGGTTATGAATTAGGATCTCACCGTCTAGAAGGGTAATTATAGCCTCTAGAAAAGCATTAGTGTTCAGATGTGGAAGAATATGGCTCCTTATTCAGTGGCTGAGAGGACAGCATGGTGGCCACAAGATGGTCTGGGCAGCAGAGAGCCCTTGACACCTAAGTACTCTTTGTAGAAGCATCTAGGATGAAGGTCACAAACCTGCTGAGCATTAGCTTGTAACAGATTTCCCAAATGTTCCACCAACTCTGAAAACGTGGGTCTCTGATTGGGCTCCCCATGCCAGCAGTCAAGCATGGTCTGGTACCTACAGAAGCAAAACACTGATGTCATTAACTGCCTCTTTTCTTCTTATCTTATGCTGAAAATAAGCACTTGAATGAGTTAACATTTATAAAGAGTCTACCATGAGCCAAGACACTAAATAGGAATACAAAACTCTCTGTAAGACACAGAGCCCTACACTTGGAGTATCAAGTGTGTATAGAAAACAAAACACAAATCAACATCTAATAAACACTAACTGGTTAGTACAGATAAAGTGCTGTCATTTCAAGAAGAGACGACTCTGTGCTTAAGATTATCAAGGAAGACTTCAAGGGAGAAGTAAGACACAAACTGGGCCACGAAGGAGGGAAATCTAATGGAAAGTCTTCTAAGCAGGGAGAACTTTTGTGAGCAAAGAAAGAGGAAAGAAGGATACTGTTAAAGTCTTACATTTCTGGTGTGGTATAATCAGGGGCCCTCATTCTAGTTCCTTCTTTCAATCGCCTGCAAAATTCCTCATCAATCTTTACTCCCGGATATGGAGAAGCACCTAAAAAAAACAGGAAAGGGACATTATTTGATTTGAATTTCTGTTCTAGAAATCCCTGAGCCTGGCCTGATTCTTGAACATGCTCATCACCTACACACACACACACACACACACACATATAATTTTTTCCTTTCTTTCTTTTTTTTTTTAATTTTACAATCCAAAGCTTCTAAGTCAGTTTTACCCAATGAAGGTGGACTACAGGGGAGGGAAAGGCACCCTGGGGCCACTGACTTTTATCATTCTATCTGGAGTATGGATGGAGGGACAAAAGAAGTGACTTACCTAAGGAAAATATTTCCCAGAGCAAGACACCAAAAGACCACACGTCACTCTGAATTGTGTACACTCTGTCAAAAATTGTTTCTGGGGCCATCCATTTCAAAGGGAGGCGAGCCTAAGAGGTTAGAAGACAAGGCATCAGAACCAACTTAGGAAATATCTGAAGAAAAAACTTCCTTTGCTCCTGAACACAGGTCCTGAAGCTTGCTAAGAGGAGTTTGAATTCTGCAACTTAATAGATCACTGGGTTTATTTTGAAACTTACATCTCCTTTTCTGACATAATCTGGGTCTTTATAAATATCCCGGGCCAAGCCAAAGTCACAGATTTTAACCACGTTCTTCTCCGACAAGAGGATATTTCGTGCTGCCAGGTCCCTGTGGATACACTGCAAAAAGAATCGTGTGTGCATTAGGTCTCAGCACAGCTGATCTCTTCTACATCTGTTGTGACCTCATGCTTAAAAAAAAAAAACCCACATCAAAAAACCAACTGATTAACAAGCACTGGGTTAATATCTTTTTTCAACACTTCAGGAAAAAAGTCTGTGAGTTTTGTTGAGACACACATCTGCTTATCCCATAAACAGCCCCAGACTTTGCAGTTAAATAATTAAGTTATAGTATGATGATGGAGTCATAAATAGACTTCTCTTGGACACAATTAAGAATGTGTTTCTGGTCACATCCACACATCCCTTTTGCCTGGTACCATATACGGTTAAAACGTGTTATTCTGAGGAGGCCCGCGAATGGGATTTATTTTGAATGAATGCACGGAAACCAGAAACAAGGGGCTCTCGGTGGTTTGGTGCCCTTTGCTGGTTCCCCCATTCCATATGTAACTGAAGCTGGACCGGCCCTAATAAACAGTTCTCAGTGTGGCTCATCCTGTTTTCAAAGTGCTGGATTATCATAAAGGTCTATTAAAGCAATTTTAGCCTCTCACTGGCCCAGTTGATCCTCCAGTGCACTAAAAAGGAAAGCTGAATTTTCCCTGGTTTTCCATCTATTCTTCTCTGCTCATCAGTTTCTCCCTTCTCTATAGACCCTAACCATCTACCTTCCCACTACCAAGTAGCTTTAGCTCCACCCACATCCCCCACGCCCCCGTAGCTTTGTGAGAGAACAAGAGACTTGGAGAACATCTAGAAATGAATAAGAGGCTTAGACGAGAATTCTGAAGTCAGTGCAGGAGCGCTCAGGCCAGCTGGGCATTACTTACCACCCCGCACCTCGCATCGGTATAGCACGTGCCTCTGAATGAGGCACATTTAAAAGCACATTGCATAGCATGATTGAGCAAGAAATAGACAATCCTTCCTACTTTCCCTTCACCCAAAGAGCTTCCATTTTTAGCCCAACAAGCAAGTGGTATTCAAGAAATCAACCAGTAGATGCAAGAGAGGGTAGAGGATGTCCCCTTATCCCCTTTCCAATCGCTGAAAGGAACCCTGACTAAATGGCAGGCTCTGGCCTTTAAAAGGAAATAAAATAAAATCAGAATCCCCAAGAAGGGCAAAGGGCCTCTCTCTTTGGGAAAACTCTGTAAGACCCCACTTCTCTCCCTTCCTGTTAGGGGAGAGAAGACAAGAGCTCCCCGGCAGAAACATCTGAGATCCCGAGGCTCTGAGAGCTGGGTCAAGCTTTCAACTTCAGAAAAAGAAATGGGTTAGGAATTCCACTCTAATTTACCAAAACAAAAACTTTAAGTCTTTGTCTCCCCAGGAGGCTGCAAGAAATGCATTTTGTTAACTGATAATTTCTCCTGAAACCTAATTTGAATTTTTCCTGTTTAGTGTAAAACCACCGATTTTACCCTTTCCAGAGGGAACCAACCTCACCCCCTCCGGGTGTTTACAACCTTTGGAATGTTTGTAACTTGTCACGTCCCCACCTCAGCCTTTGTGGGACCTACTTTTCTAATTTTAGCTCTTTTAATCGCTCTCATCTGAAACCTGTCCTTCCTGGTTTCTAATTATACTCCTTCAACAAATACTTTTTGATGGATGGTGATGACTGTAAATTAAGTTAAAAATAGACTCTCCTATGCCAAGATATCTGCAAGACTCAGTCCCTCACCTTCTCCAGGTCATTGCTCACATGTCACATTCTAAAGCCTTCCTTGTCCACCTTGTTTAAAATGAATGTACACAAACACGGAAACACATGCACACACAAACATACCACTCCTGTATACTCTATAACCCTTTCCTGCTTATTTTTCTCCATAGCACTTACTCTCATCTAACCTATGCTGTATTTCACTTGTTTATACGGTTTATTGTTTGCTCCGTCCACCAGAATGTAAACTCTGGGATGGCGGAGGGTTTTGCCTGTTGGTTCATACGCTATCTTGAGCGCTTAGAACACTGCCTGCACTTGTTGATGCTCAGTAAGAATTTATCACATGAATTAACTTCACGAAATCCTTACACAGCCTTAACTAGCAGAAACAGGGCCTCCCCAGTAGAGCTCTTTTAAGAGCCCAAGGAGCGGTGAATGAATTACAATCCCAAACAAACACCAGTGGGACACCTTATTTCAAATCTGTGATCTGAAGAGATATTTTGCTTCCCCTCGAGCTGTCTTACCTTCCGTGATGCCAAAAACTCCATGCCTTTGGCCACTTGGAAGCTGTAACAGATGAGATGCTCCAAGGTCAGGAAGTTCTTGTACAGATCTTCAGAAACTGTCGGAAGATGCGGGAGGCCAGCGATGAATACCTGCCCCCACCAAACTGTTTGTTTCTAAGTTTGTTAGAGTAATGATCATTTTCAGACTTGGGAGTTAAATTCCAGGAAACAGAACCAGAGAGAAAATGCTTCTATCTTCTGTAAATAAGCTCAATCCCAGGATTATTAGCCTTCATCATACCCCTTAGCAAAAATACTGGTTTTTCCTATTTTAGCCAAATTGAACCAACAAATCCAGGAGGCAGAATGGAGGTAAAATTGGTATAAATAATAGGGAGTGAGAGAGGACTTTCTCAAATTTGCTGTTTTAAGCTGTCGTTTTTTTCATGTACCCAGAGGGGTAAACAATAGTTTCATATCAAGGACTCTAAAAATAAAACAACAATATTCAGGGTCCTTGAATCTTTTCTCTCCAGCCTTTGTCCTAGGACAAAGGACAAAGGTCAAATTATAATCTACAACGGAGAACTAAAAATACCAGAAACGTATTTACTTCTCTCAATTTCAAGCTGAGAAAGTGCTGTAAACACATTAAATCTGGCCTGCGAAAACGCTTTTTTCCTCCAAGGATATGAATGAGAGACGACAGGAACCCCAAGAGAAAGATGAATTTATGTAAACTAGTGGTATTTACTTCCCTGCAACTGGTACAAATAAACACTAAGACATTAATGGGTGTTTCAACATGATCTCTTAAATTCATTCAGATAAGATAAGATGGTTTCTTTCCTGAAGACAAATACCAGAGTAAATGAAAACTCAGTTGTAATAATAACCTTGTAAGTATTAAAAAGGCTGCAGACCTTTTTCTCAATAACTTTTTATGCTTAGGGCTAGAGGGCTCTCAGCGAACAATCAGTGAAACCCTTTCATTTTCCAAATGAAGAAATGGAGGTAAAATTCCAGGTCAATGCCCTTTTTACTCCAACTTACTACCTCACTCTCTTGGGTTTCCTGCTCATTGGCCACCATTTTGTGAGGCAGAAGGATAGAGGAGAGATGGCCCCACTCAGTGTGGACCCAGTTACACGGTGACCTGAGGAGACAGCCTCCTCCTGCTCTTCTAGACCCAGTTCCAGCCTCACCCTCCCCGCTTGGCTTCTAAGGGAAAGAAGTCAGTTTTAAGTTCTCTCTGTGACCTCATGTCAAGGGAAACAAAAGCGGGTTTCTTCCACTGTTTCATAACTGAATTCTAAGTTCATGCCTCAAGAGATGCCAGCTGTCAGGAAGCCCCATCTCTACATCCATGGAGCTGTCTCTGCACCTTCTGAGGGAAGGAGATATACAGCATATCCCGGAGCCAGAAGAAGTCCTGAAAGTTAGGTTGGGAACACAGCTCCACTCACAAAGAGTACTAAAATATCATTGGAAGCACAACTGGATAAAGAAAAGTGTATTCACCAAGACTCCCCTGAGGAAGTATGGTTGGAAGGAAGACTTGACACGCCACTTGGGGTGGGGCAGAAACAACAGATGGCCCCTCACTGCCTTGCAGAAGCTTGGGTATGATTAACTGAAAGACTTCTGTTGTGCTGGTGAAGTATGCAATGTGAGGCTGAACTGTTTAGGGCAACAGGGAGGCTAATCAACCACCAGAGAGCCTCCTTTGCCCTTCCAGAACATAGCACTTAACATCTGCTGCTAATAAATGCTGAACCAATATTTTAAGAGCACTGGCTTGATTGCTGCCAACTGCTTAGCTCTCCTCGGTACCAAGATTTCTCAGGCCAGCCATGCTTTGCCCCACAACCTAGCCCACTACTTACTTAGGGCTTCCACACTTTACTTTTGGGGAGACTGAATGGAGGAAGTCTAGAAATTCAGGTCTCTTTCAAATATTAGGTAGTATTGGACTTTTCCACAACAAAATTCCTTGTAACACCCTGTCACCTTGTCTGTTCCTATAAGAGCATCCTTTAAGTGTTGAGGAATCAATGGCCGGTACCTTCCTCTTCCTCCACATCACTGAGGGATTTCTCCTCAACAAATCCAGAGCTGGCTGAGCTCTGGCTACTGGTGATACTGTCCAGGCGGCGTTTAGGATCCATAGTGATTTCCCCAACGTATTCTTTCCCTGGACGGAATCGTGCCCCTTTGGTCTGTAAAGAAGCAAATGAACAAACTCTTTGAACACAGAAAAGATCTCTAAAATGTAGTAAACTATGGAAAAAAATTATAACTATTAAAAGCAGACAAGAAGGACATCCATTTCAGGATTATGGAATCACTGGGCTAAAATTGGGGGCAAGTGTTCTACATAATTGATTTTCTTCCATAAAGCCTAGCTCCTTCTGTACCTTAAAGAGATAAATGCCTCATTTCAAGTTTCACTCAGACACTTTTCCAACATTGGGGTGTTTTTTACAGGGGGATTGACACTCCATAGGGCCAAATCTGGCTAGTGGAGAGAGAGAATAATCCAGAGCTGTCCTTCCCTTTCCTTAATCACACCCACCTTCTCCCCTCCTCCGGCACCATCCATAATGAGTCAGTAGATTAAAGTCACAAAAATAAAACATGAGAATCATATGTCTCCCAGAAGGTAAAAGAGGAAGTTACAATAGCCAAGAGGCAATGTGAGAAGATTCCTCACAAGTTCTTCACAGAATTTCAACTAAAAAGTTAACCTGTACCACTTTGAGTTTCCCTCCATTTGACAACGTGTCCCGAGGTAAGTCAGGAAACGACATACCTTGTAGGGAACAAATTCATTTCTCTTGCTCCTTAAGTAAGTTGACAGGTTTCCAAACTTGCAGAATTCCACAATCACCATGAGTGGCCCTGCAGACAGCACAGCACGCCAGGAAAGGAAAATATGTTTTCACTCATGTTTCTCACTAAATGTTTAAGTTGATGAACCAGAAAATATGACAGAAGAGGCTACGACCTTTCACTGGGGACAGGATCATAGGAATCAGCTGGTCACAATCCCCTTATATCGTAGCCTTTCTTTCCCCAAAAGGCATTCCACAACTAGATTAACCAAATTTCAGAAGAAAATCCACCCAGTTTCCCACATAATCACCTAAAATGACTCCATTTTAGGTGGAACTACTCTAAAAGTCTTTGCTTTCAAGTTTTTGGGGGAAGTTTACTTTTCTCATCTGAACACGTATTACACAAGTAACAAACTGTATTATAGTGATGTGTCATTTTTTAATTCACAGGAAGTTCTAGAATATAGTGCCCACTAAACCTCCATGAAATATATTTATATCTAGGAATCTGGCAAAATCTCCTAAGTTAAAGAATTCAAGGCCATGGGAGTTGGGTGGTTTCCTTTAAATACCAGCAGATGAGCAAACGCCAAAATCAAGCAGCCAGAACCATCCACAGGCACTCACCTCCTGGCTTGGTACAGGCACCTAGAAGATTGACCACATTGAGATGGTGGCCAATATGGATGAGGATCTTGAGTTCAGACATGAGGGCTCGGTGTTCACTGTGTGTTGCTCCTTCTACAGATACAGAGCAAAGAGGGAAATCATAAATGCGGGCATTACCACTGCATAGATCTGTGCAACTTACCTTCCAGGGAGAATACAACTGTCACCCAATTTACAGACCAGGTGCATTTCCCTAAAGGTCAAGTATAAATTCTATTTTCTAACTCTAGATCAAATTCTTACTTTAAGTGCACCCAGAATGTTTAAGATTTAAAGGAATCCATTGTGAAGTCTTTTGCGAAGTGGAGAATACATCTGAAAATGGAATCATGCCCAGATTTTCTTCTTTTACAAAATTGGATTTTCATGTATCAGGTTTACCATGCTTCTTAGGCCCTGATTATTTCAGTGCTCCCTTGTAAGGAGGCAACACCATGTATTAAATCCTTGTGCATTAGTGGCTATGCTGAAGTTCCCACCAATCTGCCGAGTGGGAAACTTAACAAGAGCCAGCTGGCAAGGCCAGTTGGCACATGAGGTTGATGAGGCTAAGACTGTGAGTTTGATCCTGAACAGACCAGGACACTTCCCTAATTCACAGACATGGTCCACACACCGGGCTCTGACAAGCCACTGCAAAATGACATATCCCCTTGGCACAAAGGAAAACAGACAAAGGAGAGAGATGGCTTCAAAATGTACAAGATCTATTGGCAAAGAGTCAGTAGCATTGTCTCCATCAAAGAAAGCACATCTCAGTTGAAGTAAAGAGCTTTCTATGCCCCAACTCCTCAAATTAAAATGGCAAGACCAGAAGTCCATTACTATTAAAATTAACAATTGTTTGTAAAGCTTTTAATCTTTAAAATTTCACCCATAATCCTTTTTTGCTACCACAACCATTCTTACTTTCCATAGTATTTTTTATATGTGAAAATCTTTCACATATTCCAATTCTAGGGAACATGCTGTTTTGCACTCTACTATTTTTTTTTTTTTTTTTGAGGAGATTAGCCCTGAGCTAACATCCACCACCAATCCTCCTCTTTTTGCTGAGGAAGACTGACCCTGAGCTAACATCTGTGCAGTCTTCCTCTATTTGATATGTGGGATGCCTGCCACAGCATGGCTTGACAAGCGGTGCTAGGTCCGCACCCGGGATCCGAACTGGCAAACCCTGGGCCACCGAAGCAGAGTACGTGAACTTAACCACTATGCCACTGGGCCAGGCCCTGCACTCTACAATTTTTACTTATTATATCAAATTTCTTTCCATATTTCTAGATGGTCTATAATTATCTTACTAATGTACCATAATACATTAAGAAGCAATTTTGATATAACCAAGGTGGTTTTTTTCCTATAGCCAGTCCACTAAGTACAGTTGTGCAAGCTGCGCCCTGCACAAGGGCTCCCAGGCAACGTAGGGAATTGAGAAGTTGAAAAACCATCCCCAACTCTGCCTGCCTGGCCACGCATCCAGGCCTGAGGCTACAAAAGAGGAACTTTTCTTCTAATTTGCACAAAGGCATCCTAACGGCTGGCCGCATGTTTGGCTGGTGGGCCTTCCTAGCCACAGAAGCACTGAGACAAGCCTCACATTGTGTTTGAAGATGGGATGAAACAGATAGAGGGAAACATCAGCACATAATTTTGCTTTTACCTTTCAACATTTTGACGGCCACTGTCTTACAAGTTGCTGCCTTGTCGATTCCAAAGGCATCAGCTTCAATCACTTGGCCAAAGGCACCACGGCCAAGAGGCTTACCTACAGTCAACAAAGACAGCAACGACAAAACAGTCTTGGACTATCACACCCCCGAAGTGATATTCAGAGATTCCGACTAGATGGGGTGACTGTGCAGTCCAGTGTAACACGGACAGGCCAGTTTAATCCCTTGCCCTGGCTTAATTATTTCCTACCTCCCCCTCCACTCTCCACATGTCCTGCTTTGGGTGATTAAACAGGGACCCCACTTCTAAGTGACTCAATGAATGATTACTCAAATGCAAGAGATGGAATGCATATTTCTGAATCAGAATCCAACATTTGAATAGACTAGACCTGTCATCATCCCAAAGAAGGAAGAGATGGCCCAGGAAACCCAACATCAAATTAATATCACTTGAAAACACACCTAGTTTCAGCCGATCTCTGGGGAATTCCCATTTGCTGGCATCATAAGGCAGGCGTTCGCAGTGTTCATCCAAGGGGAGTTCATCTGGATCCATGACGATGGACAAGTAGCCTGTCTTCAGCTCCCCTCCGTTGGCCTGGAAAGCATTATTCCTTCCAGTCACACACACTCTGTTGTTTGGCTGTTGTTTTGTGTGCTTGTTTTTGTTTATAGAAGCCCCATTCCTGATGTCTCATTTTTCTAACAAAACTCACGGAGTGTGAGAGTATTCCCATTATAATCCTGCTTCCAGTGTCCCCTCAACCCCCAAATGAGCTCAGAATTAAGTTCTTAAATCTTAATTATACTAGACAGTCCAAGCCCTTTTCTTCTCTAGCGGTTTCTATCAATTAAAGCCCAGTGGTCCAGCCAAACGAAAGTGGGCAAGAATGTTATTGTATTGAAATAAAATTATGCCCATTATGCCAATAACAATGGGAAAAAACAACTCACAGAGCCCCAGTCAGCTTTCATTAATCATGAAAACCAACGTGCATGGGATGAGAGGGAAATTATTTTGTTACCCGTTTAACGGTCCGTAGAACGATGACAAGAAGTAGCCAGAAGAACATGGCAATCACGGCAGTGCCTACTAGAATAATGACTTCCAAGTTCGTCTTCTCCTGGGCACCTGGAAAGACACAAGTGAATGAGCACTGACCGTTGGAAACTCACACCTGTTGATATAAGATGACAAAGGTCAACACTGAAGCAAGATCCCAAGCCGACCAACTTGGAAAAGTCCCTGACGGTAACAGTCACGAGCCTCTAACTTGGAGGAAGTCTATCACGTTCCTAACGGATAATTTAAGGCCTGCAAAACACTGCTCACAAAAACTTCCAGCAATAAAATTCTAAAGTAATTAAAAATAGAACTATTCATGTCTTCAAAGACAAACACAAAGTGTTTGGAGGAAGAGCAGTTTCGATGGACAGAAAGCAGATCATGTTCTATAGAGAAGGAGAAGTATTTCTATTTGGGGAAAATAAATGTCTGGTTTTACGCTGATAGTCTGTGTTTTGATCTGTGTAGAGTTTACGAAAGGGTTGTTTAAGAAACCAAGCAGGGAAATCAATGTAGGTCCAAGTAGAGAAATCAATGTAGTCCTTTGCCCAGAGAGCTACCGATGATCACACACCTACTAGGTGCTCATCACTTTAACTATGTCAACCCAACTTGATCTCCTCAACATCCTATTTTCAGATGGAGAAACAAGCTCAGAGAAGTTAAGCTACTTCATCGAGGGCACAAAGCAAGTCAGTGGAATAGTGAAGAGTTAAATAAGGTCTGTCCAGCACCGGTTAACCATCACACTACCCTGTCCTTGTGCGGCAGGAGCCTGAGAGAGGAAAAGAGAGAGAGCCAAGATGAGCGCATACCACATGGCCTGGCAAGATGAGTTTAACACCACTCCCGAAAGGAAAGAGATGAGAAAAAGCGAGAGGTGTGCAGGACAGCTGTTGATACTCAGGGCTCCAGAGGACAGCTCTGAGTGGGAGAAATTAAGCCCAGAGGAGTCTTTCCACTGAGAGTGATTAGCAAAGAAGTGATAAGGAAGCAATTGTCACTTAGGGTCTCCCACTGGATAGTGCAAGGAGAATCAAACCCGGCCACAAGCTGTGGGAGTGGCCCCCAGCAGCCTCAAGAAGGCGGAAGGATAGGTAATTAATTAGTTAGCAAAGTAACAGTTAACAGTTGAGAGACAAGCACCAAGGATGCTTGGAAGTAGATTTTGTTTCTCCGGTGGTCCTACTAAAGTAATTCTCTATTCATACATAGAGATTTCAAAGTCCATAAACATAATAAAAAGTTCAACTATTCAATTGTCTATGTAAGTTTGTGTATTAACATTTCCATATTAACATTGGGGAACCAAACAGGAGAACTAAATCTCTCCGTCTCTCTTGGTATTCTCTTGGAGTGAGAAGCAGATATAACCTCTGTGCCAACATTACCTAGTTAGGCATCAGTAACCAGCTGCAGACAGCTAACAGGAGGTGAGGCAGAGCACAGGGGAGAATTCCAAGTCCCTTTAGGACATGTCCGAAAACATGAAGCACTTTGGAAGTGACAAAACCACCATATCACTTGAAATCTTTATTTATTTCACGCACTCGAAATCTTTATTTGCAAGCGCAGTTTATGAAATGGTAATAAGCCTACAGATTTGAAAACATGTCAAGGTATTGACAAGCAATACTTGACAATATAGATTTGACAGATTAAAGACAGTAAAATGCAGCCGTTGAGAGACAAGTTAGGATGGGTTCAGAGAAATCCATCAGTCTCTCCATCTATCACCATCCTTCTTTCTTCCCCTTGCATACCATTCCTCCACCACATAACACGGTTTCATTGTTCCCCTGATGGGTTACTTTTTGAAAAAGACATAGGAATATACTTTTGAAGATAAAATACTCTGTCGCAAATTACCTTTCCCATCTGAGAAAATGCCAGATTTCACATCATTCCTGCCTATATACACAAGTTTCCTTTCACATTTATATAAGAACCCCAAATTTTCCAGAGCAGAGATGCAATGGTCTATTGTTCACAAATGAACCTTCATTATCTGTAGTCCAGTGAGAACTACGAACTCTCGTGACTATCCGGACAGCACTGATTCTCAAGATTAGGCAGCAATTCTACTGCTTTTTCCAAATAAATATAGAAGCATCATTTCCCTAACAAGTTAACTGACTCCTTCAAAGAAAGAAAGACTCAGGGAAAGAAGAATGTTCAGCCTGCCTGGCTAAGAATTTTTCCACAATGAGAAATGCAGGCATAGAAAATGGGAAGCAAGCAGAATTAAAATAACATTAATTATGTTTCCTTGTTAAAATAATATATACTTATAGTAGAAAATGTACCAAGTACAAAGAATATGAAAGGTCACCTAGCATCCTCCCACCCACAGTGTATGAGTAGACATAAGACACAAGCTGGTTTTTAAAAACCACCTGATGTGTCTATGGCTTCCCACTGACCTTCTACTATGAAAAATGCCTCCACTTTTGCACACCCCAGCACACTGCACGCCTGGCAGGTGTAGAGGCCTTCATCCTCCTTGCGCACTCGGCGGATAGTTAGGTTCCGGTTCCCATCTTTCAGGACAATGCCTAAGAGAGGAGAAGAATGATTATTTTTATTTAGGATGTGGCCTAGTGGAGTTTTTCAGGAAAAATTTTAAAAATATAAATATTCCCCTTTATCTTGGGCGATTATCTCACTCCAAAGAGTCATATAGGATCAATTGCTGACTCATTACCCCTGGCTTCCATGAGAATTCAACACGCTCTGAATACTCTGATTCTGACTCCATGACATGAGTCAGACCTAAACGTTAATATTGCTTTTTTCTATCTAAAACAAACCAGGAAATAATATGGGTTTTAGATAACATCTCCAGGAAAATCCTGCAACCAAAGACAAACATATTCCATTCACCTGAGTCTTCCACAAGCGTCTCATTATCTTTGAACCACGTAATCTGTGGGTGGGGATTCCCAGATGCTGTGCACGAAACCTCGATGGTTTCACCGATACTTGTCGTCTGATTCTCCAGGTTTCCCATGATCATGGGTGCCATGCGCTCTGTGCACATGAAAAGTAGAGAACAGTGAGTTGTAACTTTTGAAATGGTTTTGTATCAGTAAACTCTTAACCAGTTTAAACTTAGTCAACAATAAATTGTCAATTTACCAAGCGGAAAATGCATAGAGCTTAATGACAGTACTGTTGGTCACTGAGTAAAGTTAAAGGAAACAAATAATTCAGGACAGTTTAGACAGGTTATCGCATCTCTTTGAACATCCATATTTGTGATTCTAGCAGGTAATCACATCACAACGTCAAGGTTCAGTGTCCCCTTTATGGATTTCACCTCTAATCAAATATGGCTTCCCCAGGGGAAACCTTCCCTCCCATGAAAGTGCTAGCCAGTGACACCCTAGAATTCTGCCATGTTTCTCTTGGAAAGTGTGAAACTTCAGTGCAGTTCAACAAACAGAGTGCCTTATATCTATTCGGCACTTTTTACAAAACTTGTTTATACTATTTCTGTTACTATCAATCCAATGCTATTTCCACTAAAACACAAATAAAACAACAACTCCCTAAGGAAAGTCAAAGATTTAAAGGAAATGAGGCCCATGGGAATTTGTTCAAATTTACAAATCATCAAAGCACTTTGGAAATATCTTATCCAAACCAATTGAACATCAGAAGGAATCATGCTGAAAGGATCTGCTTCAACACTCAGCAAAATGAGATTACCTCACCAGTGACCTACACTGGGGTTTAAACAAAGGTACTGGACTCTAGTCTAGTTCTAAGAATATTTTTTGGAAAACAACTTAGGAGTCCTTAGGGAGGCAAACTAGCCCATTGTGAGCACAGAGTTCCTGGGTACGGCAAGGCCAGGAGCCTCCTTCACTTCTCTTTCTGAATCCTTCCACTAGCTTGAAACCAGACCAGCCACCAAGCAGAATAGAAAAAACATGGTCATATATGTGGTGTGATTTGAAGGACCCTAGGGACGACTTCACCCAAAAATATCTCTTTTTTTGACACCTGAGTCTTAACACTAGCAAACTCTGTCCTGGTGTCTGTCTGAAGATATCTCTCAAAATATGTCAAGGCCTCTGAAAATGATATTATTCCTCTAAAACTGGTATAGATTAGTTTCTGGTTAGCTCCCCTCCTAACAGTGAAAAACAGAGAACACATACATCCTAGGAACTGGGAAGGGACGCTAAGGAGAAGAGAAAATGGAGGGAAATGACACAAAGAGAAATTCCCCAAATTTGCCTGATTTTCCCAGAGACAGAGCTGTGGCTACACAGCTTTTGTGCAAGGCACAAGGTTAGATGAAGTGTAGAGTGGCTCCAGGAGGAATTTACAAGGCTATGTGCTCACTAAAATTATCATCCCGTTGACCTTGAGCTATGCTGGACCACATGGGACAAAGCAGAGGTACAGGCATTGACTGCAGCACCCTCCCAAGGGCTCTCATAGGTCCTTGACAACGCCATCATCACATTCCTCGTGCAGCACGTCTCTTATTGAGCAGCTAGTATGTGCCACTACGTTCTATGACTGGAGCTCAGCAAGGAGTAAAACAGAAAACATTTCTTGTCTTCATGGACATGGAGAGCTCACTGTGCTACGACTGCCCAATGGCAGGCTGAGTTTTCATCCTGTCCACCTATTCACCACTGGGAACTTCTGGCACCCCCCTAGCTCAGAGTAGGCATTCCACAAACATGGGTCTACTTAAATAAATGAATGCCCAAGAATAAGGCAGAAATTTCCCTGGTTCACGCTAATCCCTTGCAGACACTAGTGAGTTACCCCACCATCGGCGTTGAAAAGAACCATGTTATTTTCTCTTTTAAATACATCACTTCACCATTGTTAGCTTCTCTCTGCCTTAAGGACTTTCAATGAATACGGACAGTGTGTACCAGTCTACTTCATTAGCTTCTGGAGGACAGTAATCTTCACACAGCACCTGAAAGCACTACATTTAAGACCTTCCGACTGCCTCTGGAGGATCCAGAGTTGCCTCCCTACCTAGGACTGTGAGCTGCCTGACCACACAATGCCTTTTCTTGGTCTTCCTGTCCTGAGCAAAGCAGATGTAGTCTCCTTGGTCCTGCAAGGAAGCATTCTGGAGCTCCAGGATCAAAATGTCATTGGTGCCATTAGAGAACATGACGGCATTCATTTTCCAAAGAGCATCCAAGTTCTTGCAAACAGGCGTGGGCACCTCCCCCGCATGGATCGGCAGAGCTTGTGGGCCAAGCTTGTACCATGTGACATTCTCAAAGGTAGTTCTGTCTGCAGTGCACCACAAAGACACATTCTCCTGCTCAGTTGGCTGGGTGTCAGGTTGCAGAGTGATTTCAGGACCCCCTGAAATGTAAAACCCATGGTTATCAGGAATGATTTAACTCGGGCAGCACGCTATTGTCTTCTTGTTGTCTTCAGACACTGACATAAGGCACCAAGAGAAGCTATGCTCTACAATCTTAGATGATGTAATATAAGACAACAACCAAACTAGACAATTCAGGTCCTAAAATAAATTATTTTGCCAAAACGTATTATTTGGAAATGTAAATGAATTCTTCAGATATTTATCAAATCACTACTTCAAGCTCTTAATACAGTTTTTAAGATTAAAAAAAAATCAAAAAATATCTAAAGCAGAATATCTAATCATAACATGAAATTTTTAAGATTAGTTCCTCATTAACACATAACACTCAATGCCATTAAAGCTATATTTATTACAATGAATTAGCCCAGTGTGAAATATTTTATCTAGTCCAGTCAGCTAAAGCTTAGCTGTAGATCTAAGATGAATAGACAAAATCAACAGCATTGGGAGGGCATGGCTCCTACGTCGTTACAATTGCCTCCAGAAAACCCAGCCTTGTCAACTGCTCAGCAGCAAACCCACCAATATTGATTGAAGCCCAAGATGCCAAGCACTGTGCTAGACTCTGATGATGCAGACATAAGTATGATGCAGGACTTGCAGTTAAAAAGCATGTGGGAAGCCACACTTTCTCCAGTGAAGTCAGATGGACTGACTTCACATGAGCCCAGGAACTACCTGAGGAGATTTAATTGATGACCAATTACCAATCCAAATGCTCTTCCTAAATGCCACGCCACTCACAGGAATTGCAAGGACTACAAAGTATTAGAGAGTTTAGCACCCAGCTGCGAGAGTACTCACTGGTCACGTGGAAGGAGATAACCCTCTCTCCTCTCCCGGCTTTGTTGACTGCCTCACATTTGTACAAAGCTGACACATTTGCCGCTTGGATGACAAGGGTACTTACAGTCTGTGAAAAAAACAAATCCCAGGCCATCAACAATAGAGGCTGTGTTTATGCCCATGCACGCAGGGTGAAATTAAGCAACCTCCACAACTGCCACGACCTCCCCACTCCATTCACACCACTGCACTGACCCCCTCAAAGCCAGGCACTTATAATTATGCTGGTACAGTTCACACATTGTACAAAACGGGCTTTGGAAACCATGAAGTAAATAATGTGTTTTAACACAATATTACATACATTGTCCCATTTTCTTGTTTATAAGATCAGAATCATCTGACAACAAATGTATAGATTTAACGAGATACGTGCTTCAGTTTCCTCTGATAAATTATTAATAAGTCACTGGTGCCTCCAAAAGTCAATGGTGTTTTCAAACTGACTTAATGCGCTAGTATTTTATCATTCGATTCAACTGATTATCAATCTCCAATATTCCTCACATACTATTGCACCATGCTTCCACTCCATCCATCCATTCTTCCATAAAAGAGAAAGAGAGAGAGAGATTTCCATATTAAAGAACTTCAAACTCACTTTGTTTTTTCCTTCAATTAGGGCAAATTGATTTTTGTTGACTTCAATTTTATTTCCTCCCTGGAAGTCCTCCACATTTCTCCATTCTTTACAAGTGTATGGGTTTGTCATTAAGGCAGCTTGGCTATAAAAAAGAGATAACAGATCATGTTAGGATTCTATTTTTCTTTAATTCAAATCAATAGGAAGGAAAGGAGTCAGACTTTGATTATTCTGTTCTTAGAAATAACTTTCAGTGCATCCTACCACTTTACAAGACTTGGCGCCAATTAAAAATAGGCCTCAGCAATGAAGGAAAAGGTTCTAGGTAGATTCATTCAGGATACAGGAGGGAAGCAGCTATTCTGGGAACAAACCTCCATTCATAAATTGGATCGACAAGACAATTCAAGTTAATTTAGTTCAAAGGAAGGCAAGGAAACTAAGAAGCCATTGGGCTTCTAAAAGTAATCTCTCCGGGACTGTGGCCTTTGTATAGGAAATGGTCAGCATCTGAGGAAGAAACCAGTAGTGGTCATCTCAAAAACAACAACAGGAAGTGAAGTGCTTAGGGTGGTGGTGGGTGGCTTGTTGTTGTTTTTTTTTCCTAAGGATGTCTGGACTTGTGTTAGAACCTGATAAGCCGGGCCTGAGACTCCAAGGGCTGTGGCAAGGTCTATCGCTCCCTCGCATCCATCAGCACTTCCTCTGAGATGGACTTCTCACAGATAAGGAGAGTGTGCTATTCACCAGTTGATTGGGATAAAGAGGAAAACCAAAGACTGGCAATTAGCAAACTGAGCAAAGAACCTGCATCTGGAGAGGTATACATCAGGGCTAACCTAAGAAGAGACAGCTAGCTAATCTCAAAGTGAGATACCCTAAGGAAAGATATCTCTTAAAACATAAGAGACAGAGAAAGATGGAAGGAGATTAAGAGTACCACTTGAAGGATAACTTTCTTAGGAATAGTCTTCTCAGCTTAGAGTGGAGTCATATCATAGCTTGGCTATAAGAAATGCAAAATGGCAGGCAAAAAGAGGGCATGGCCCTACTCACGTGGGCTTGTAGGTGCACTCTTCCTCCAGCTGCCAATACCAGTGGATGTGATGCGGGGGAGGCACGGCATAGACCGTGCACGTCAGTGTCTGAGTGATGCCGTACTGGTAAGAGTCCACAGGAGAGATCAGCGATTTCTCACCAATCTGGGGTGGGACTGGAGATGGGACAAACAACATTTAAATTGTCAATCAGCTTCAAGGAATGGAAAGTAGAAGTTTTCGGCAACTGAAGCCTACATCTTTCTAAGAATATAATTTTGCCCCCATTTGCTTTTTCAAAGAACATCTAGACTTGGAAGCGGAAGACCTGATTTCTAGCGATACTCATAACAATAATAATAAATTAATAAGCTGAGTGATTTTGTGCAAGTCTCGCCACCCTGTGCCTCGGTTTTTCTCATGTATGTTATAGGGCTAGCTCTTCTTGTCCTCCCAATCTCACGAGAACAGGGCAAGGCTCTAGACAGAAAATAGTTGTGAATAATACAGTGAATACATTTGTTATAAGTGCTTTAGATTGATTAACTAATTTAATCCTCACAACCACCATCATTGTCCTCCACAGGACAAATGAACGTAGGAAAGTTAAATGACTTGCCCAAGGTCACCCACCTCTCCTTCTCCTCTGTCTCCCTCTTTTTCTTCTTCTTCCCCTTCCTTCCTTTCTTATCTTCTTCCCTCTTTTTCCCTCCTTCTCTCCCTTTTTTCTTTCTTTCTTTGTGGCCCCAAAGTCATTAATGCAAAACTATTTTCTCATCACTATCAACCTAAGGCTTCAGACTATGCTTTCAAACGACTTTTTTTTTATGTTTGTTTTATATAGCAGGACAAATGCTAGGGTGAATCAAATGTTTCGTGACTTCCTGGATTGATGAGATGGGGTTATTCACTGTCCATTCTTACAGCTTTATTTCTTGTTCATTTCCTTCTCCAGACCCCACGTATCAGCTTTCCAGCTTCTCTCCCCTCCTCAACCTCCTACTCCTGAGAACTTCTGAGTGAACTTTCTGTAACCTGTTGTCTTTAAGATACTCCCTGAAGCTGATTTCCCAGCAAAGAAATGAAGCCAAGTCCAGCAGACATACAGAGCAGTGACAGGACATATGAGGAAGCACCTTAATATGTCACAGTGAAGATCCTGAAGTTTTAATATGCCATGCCAGTAGGGAGAACAAAGAATTATGACAGAGAAGCATTTCACAAACTATGTTTGGAGCAAGATATTAATGAATTTACTGGGGGAAAAAGGGAGGGGTGCTCTGGTCAAATAAGTTTGTTAAACCTTGAATACTCTATGTCTCTCCTCATGGACCATGGCAATATACATCAGCATATTAAAAGTCCTGAGAAGTCCTGTAATAAAGACACTATTTTACATCAACTTAGCACCTCCCACACTTACTTGACCATGACACCCTTCCCCCGCAAACCTGTCCAGAACACTTATTTGTATCTTTCAGTTGGAGAAAACAAAGTTCAACTCATCCTTAAATATCTTAACTTTACAACCTCAGAGTCAGATCCTAGACTTCTGTTTAAAACAATAAAAATTTAAAAAGCTTCCAACCAAGTCAACAGTGCCAACCTGCAAAAACCTTCTGAGCTGGAATCCGCCTGTGCATCACTGATGACATCAACTACAAAGTCAAACTAGAAGCTTCCGCAAAATTCAAGAAGAGGCTTACACATTTGCATACCTGGTGCACCATTCCATGAGCCAGGAGCAAAGGCTTAAGCTCGACAGCTGTCCCCCCAGCTCTCTTATTTCACGGCATTTGGCCATCGAGTGTACTACCCACTGTAATCTTGCATTTGACCACCAAACAGCTCATTTACATGGCCCCTTAAGCAAACACGCTCAGAGCACACTGTCCTACAGCTCATTTCAACTCCACCACTCTGGATCATTTTATACATGGGGGCCCACTCATGATGTGGGTGAAGCAGCAGGGGACAGACGAACGGTGGCCTGGCTGTTTAGGCATAATCCTACTCTTCATAATAGATTTTGGGCAGAGAAGGAAAACCGAATGGACTCACCATTCACGACCAGAGATACCACGTGGCTCTGTTTCTCCTTTGAGATGGGATTGGTGAGGATGACAGTGTAATTTCCTGTATCTTTCTCACTCACTTCCATAATAGTCAGTACATGCCCCACTTTAATTGTGTGATTGGACTCAATGGGTCTTCCATTTTTATACCTATGAAAAAAGTCCCAGGAATTAGTACCATCTAAGGATTTGCTCCCATGTGGAAAAATGCTTTGCATTTATTTCCAATAGTCACCATTTTATTTCAGGGGGAGGGTAACCAAGGCACTTCACAGGGACTCTGACATGGTCTCCCACTGTAGCTTCCACCGAAGATTCCATGCCACTGCCAAAAGCAACAAAAGGTTTTTCTGGAAAAAAAAATAAAAATAATTATTCTCATAAATGTCAACTTATTACGAATGGTGGTTTGGTTTAGATTTTCATTTCAAGTGAAGAGTCAAAGATTTTGGGGTTCTGAATTGCTGCAGTTCAAGATCCCCCATGCCATCTCTCTATAGACCACATTCCATCTTCTCCCACACCTCCAGGCTTCAAGCTTGCTTTCCTCCCACCCCCATGCACTCTGCAAGCCTACTGACTGTTCAAGCCTCAATTCAAGCATCTGCTCCTCTGTAAAGCTTTCTCTAAGTCCCCCAGGGACCCTTGGGTGTTCCTTCCCCTCTGCTCCCATGACACCCTATACACACTCCCCCATGTGTCCCCTGACTCAGTCCTCAGCCCTCTTCTCTTTATCCATACCTTTCTCTAGCTGTAGACACAAAGTACTATTCATACTCCTCCTAAATTTCTATCTCCTGCCCTGACTTCTCTGGGTTCCAGGTTTATATACTAAATATCTCCACTTGGATGTTTAATGGGCATCTCTGAATGAACATGTCCAACGCTGTTTCCCCAAATCTTACTCCCCTCTCAATCTTCCTTATCTTAGTAAATAACACCACCATGCACTCAGTTGTTTATGCTAAAAAGTCAAAAGTCATCTTCCATTCTTTTCCTCTTACACCCCATAGCCTATGACTCAATAGGCAGATCCTATTAGCTCTACCTTCAAAAATACATACAGAATCAAATCACTTCTCACTACCTCCACCTCTGCCATTCTTGTCCAAGCCACCCGCCACCTCTCACCTGATCACTGCCATTAGCCTCCTGCCTGGTCTCTCTACTCTGTCCTTACTTCTCTAACGTATTCCACATAAAAGACACAGTAATCCTATAAAAACATAAGCCAGAGCATGTCTCCCTCTGTTCAAACCCTTCTCTGCATTCCATATTATAAAATCCAAAATCCTCACCAAGGCCTGTAAGTAGAGTGTCATATAAATTATCATCTAAACTGAGACATTTATGTGAGTGAAAAAGAATAAATGATAAATTAAGCTATTTGCTCAAAGCCCCACAGAAAGTAATTCGATCCAGGCTTCCCCAATTGCAAAGTCTATGCTTATTCAAGTAGGACTCTCAACCTTGCAACAAAATGAAAATTTAAAAACCATCTTAGATAATAACACTCTGCTTACTATTTTAATAATAATAATAGCAGCAACAACTACAGCAAGGAATATTTAGTGAGCACTTGCTCTATCAGCTCATCTCATCGTTAAAGTTGGGATTTGAACCCAGGCTGTGCTCTTGACCTCTAGTTAATGTGGCCTAGCAAGAGCTCAAAAATATCTTCTGAATGAACATAATAGGAATCACTAACTGATCTAAATGTATTTAAATTCCCTCACCTTCCAAGGCAGAGCACCATTCCAAAGGAGACCTTAGCTTACCATGGATCCTGACGAACGTGCTGTTCTTCTTGGTCATCAGCCCACTGGAAGCCGCACAGGTGTACATCCCGTGGTCACTCCGGGTTACAGCATCTATAGTCAAGGTGCTCAAAAACTTCTTCATCTCACTCCCTGACTGGGTTTTCAGGTCCCGATTTACAAGCTTCTTATGCTGATGCTGAAAAAGAGTTTACTCCAGCATAGTTCACCCAGTAGCACAACATGACCCAGGAGCTTCTAGATATCCACAAAATCAAGTCTCGGCCCTCGATGAACACTATTTCATGCTAAGAATAGGGTCTTCACAACTTTTAACATATGTAGACAATAAGTATATTTGATTTCAGGAGAAAAAAATGGAACCAATTGAATTAGGACTTTTAAAACCTCACATAGTGGGAATGAGACGGATATGAACCACAAGACAGTAAGCAAATAGGACCACTGTTTGAGGAGAAGTGTGTCTCATGCCACCTCTTGAAAAGAAATTTTCTTAAAGGGAAAACAGATCAAAGACTTTGGAGAAAAGAGAAATAACGCAACCTGGAAAGATGAAATCACCATGAGAAAAATAATCTTCACAGGCTGATTATAGCAGAGTGGGACAGAGTTCTTGGCATTGCGTCTTTTTTTCCACAGGTGCTGTATGCTCTGCAATTTTCTTGAAGTGTGTGTGTGTGTGTGTGTGTGTGTGTGTGTGTGTGTGTGTTAAGGCTCTTACATTTTATCTGGCCAGAGAGGCCGCTATCTCTCTCAAGCAAACTCCATTGGGGCTTATTATCAAAGTATTTGGAGGTCTGGCTTTGAATTGTTAGTGTTACCTTCAAAGAAGGGTATTCCCAGTTGAAGTCAATCCCTACATTTAGTTCAGTCCTTGCTGTACAATTTAAGACAAGCTTCTCTCCAACAGACAACTCGATTTCATGAGGGGGGCTCAGAACCACATCATAAATTCTGTACCCTGGAGCAAGTAAAATGAAAACCAGAAAGTGAGAGGGAAAACAAATGTATAACTTGGCACAAATTTTTTTTTGAAAATGATGCAACTTTAAAATGTGCCACATCATTTTTCCCTGAGGGCCTCTCCAAATCTTGGTAACTCCCAGAAAAATGGCCTACAAAGATTTACAAAGCAGACTTGCAGAGATCTCAAAGATGTTATAGCCCAGCGGATAAAAAAGTAGTAAAATTTGAGCAGTCAATAATCAATGGGGCCAACTTTAGTAAAATGCTGTACTTTCCATACAATAGGTACAATTGAAAGAATTGATGCCAGGCATCCATGCTCTGAACATTGAATTTTCCACAAAATATGCTCCAGTTAATAGCATTCTTTTTCATTCTTGGTCTTGGCAAGAAAAGAGAAAACTTTGATTGCACACAGGCTTTTTGGTAGGGAGAATAGATGTAAGGAATTACCTAACACCATATCTTGAATGAATATATTTTTCAATATTCCCTGTCCTTCACACTACACCTTCATCTCCAAGATCTTAATACAGGAAGCCAATCTTCATCGTCTGGTATTAATGATAAGGAAAAGAACTGTCCTCTTACCTACAACCACAACTATGTACATAATAGACTGGTAAGTTTCATCATTAATTTTTGCTTCACAGAAGACCATGCCGGCATAGCTGATCATGTAGCTGGGAATCGTGAAGCCTTTCTTGCTGTCCCAGGAAATTCTGTTACCATCAGGAACAAACCTCTTTTCTGGATACCTCTGGGTAGTAAAAAGAAATATCAAATATTTAATCAAGCGCTCTCCAAAGTGGAAACCATGTCAGATAATCACTAAAGAATTCATTTTATTTTTAAGAATACAAATTGGTTTTATTTATTGTCATCTTGGCCTTTCCTAAAGGATCTTTGAAACTCACTGCTGATATTATATGATAAACAGGCTTCCCATCTTAATATTAGCTTGAAATTATAAAAACCTAAGAGATGACGGAAGAAGATGTAACTTACTGCACAGAGTGACACATTGAGGTTTGAAATGGACCCAAGACATGGAATCACCACAGTTTTGTTTTTGTTCTCGGTGATGTACACCACTCCATGCTGGTCACTGACAGAAGCAATAAATGGAGATCTATAATCTAGAAGAAAATGTAATTCCATTAGTTATTGGCATTTACTAGAAAAGTTGGTCATTTTTCAGGTTCACAAACTCTAAACAGAGAAGAAAATGATTGGGAACGACATCTCACACTAGGCAAAGGCATCCACAGGTTAGTCTGCAGGTAGATATTTGGCTCCTAGGACATGTGACAGGAGGGGTGTGTGTGTGTGTGTCTGTGTATGAAAAATCTGAAAGAAAACTCCCAAAATGAGAGTGACTCCTTTCACAAGAATCATCAAGCAGAGTATAGTTTATAGGTTCCACATTTAAACAGATTGATCATTAGAATATTTTTCAAAATGAAGGAGCATACTTTTTCATTTTTCATATACACTTTCATACGTACATATACATTTTTCATATATGCTATACATTTTTCATATACATAAGCTTTAAGAAATTTAAATTTAATTCTGTACACTTTACCTACTAAGTTTTATTGATGTTAAAAAAATTCACATTCTCTTTCTTTACAAAAATAATGTAAATGCCATGAAAATGAATTAATGGATCCCAAAGGATCTTTACAATAAACTAGAAATAGCTAACAATTTTTTAATTCAATTATTCAAGAAAAAGTTTTCTGTGGGTATTTTAAGATTGTAAAGACTAGATATAAGATTCTTTATAAAATAATGTTTCACAGTTATTGCATTAGTTTAAGATTCAGCAGTCTTTATTACCTTCAGTAACAAAAACTTGAAAAGCCGTGATGGCAAAGAGTGAGAAGAAAACGAAAGAGATTTTTAAAGTCATTCAAACATTGTTCCTCCAATGTTAATACACTGCTGGGAAAAGACTCCATTTCCCAGAGAGAGAGCTGATGTGGTGTGAAGTCATGCTTGAAATCTCAGAGAGAGAACGGTTCACACTGCTCTGCCCAACACACCTGATCAAGCATTTTCAGAGCTCTTCGGGATGGTTGGTCCAAGAGAAGAAAGAGTTAATTAAACCAAAGGGGAGACAGGCAGCTAATTCCCTGCCACAGCAGAAGTTTGATTTCCTTCCCAGCTGGAAAGCACAGAAAGGCAGCCAACCCAGCCCACCACATGCCATAGCCATTATCTTACAGGCCGAGACCCACTTCCTGGCTCCATCCATTGCTGGAGGGAATGGGGTCAGAAGACTAAGGAAGTAAGGTGGGGACCAGAGAGGACATTAAAGGGTTGTCCACAGGGAATACTTCAGTGTTTTCTTTCCCATTGTTAAAAGCTTCATGACCAAAATCTTGGACAGCTTTACTCCTAGAACATTAGGTTTAGACAGGAAGCAGAATTTGATGGTATACCCAAACGGGTAGTGTACAAATAAACAGAGCTAGGGATCGGACTTCTTAATACTACCTATCTTTCATCCACATGCTGTGAAATATTACATAGCTTGCTTACAGAGCAAGATTTGGAAGCTAAATTAACCCCTTGACGTAAGACCAACGCTATTCAGTAAATCAATTCTATTTCAGTATCTCCAAAAAAGGAAATAAACAAAAGAAACCCAAACAACCACCCATCCTCTCAAAATAAAATATTTACTGTAACTCATGAAATGAATTTTCAAATGTCTCCAGGTTTCCTGACTTGGGGAGAAGGAAATAACGAGACATTATGGGAGAGGTTCGTCTTGTAGTACTTCCAGACAGGCCTAAGGCAGGAAATCCTTGCAATCTTCTGAGAAAGCCTGATCTCCCAAGACTGCCAGATCAAAAGGAGCCAGCAATTCTCAAAGATCTGAGCCTTGTCTCTTTCAAATTCTGCAGAAGGGAGGAGGAGGACACAGAATCCTCTTGCGGATTGTGCTTACCCTGGGCAAAATAATTCTCGAACATTGTGCAATCCAGGAGTGACATACATTATTTTGACATGGCCTCCTCTTTTCATTGCACTGACCATACTGCGCTATTGAAACGTAAATGGAGATATGCAAGTGTGTTTCCATAAGCTGACGAGATTCCTGCTCTGTAAAAGATGCCTCTAGACAAAAGTCTAAGCCATCTTCACCTGCCTCAAATCCTCTGGGATGTAAAACGGTATATAAATGTATAAATAAAATGTCTAAAAAGCTCATCTTTGCTGAAAAGAAAAATATTTAGTATATCCAAGCAAAATACCATGCAACACTTAGAATCCCCAAAATAATATTATAGGTATCTCAGTTAAGGCAGGTTTTCCACAGGAAAATTAAGGTAGTGTAAGATTTTCAAACACAAAAGAAAGAATAATTCATATTATAAATACTAAATACATGTAACATTGTATTTTATCCTACATAGATGTTAAATTGGCCTCCATGGTGTCAATCCCAAATGGCAAACTCTAGAAAGATGTGGCATATTCATGCAAGATTTCAGACCACACGAGTAAAGGAAAGAAACATTGTTCTCGAAAGGTACTTTTAGGCAGTGTCTTCATTTGCATAAAAGTCTGGGAATTGTTTTTTATAAAGTACAAGTGGGAAAAGAAAAGTTCCTATGTACAAGCAAGCTCCAGAGCCCTGGCTGTTTCCCTGTGCATTCTTGAGAAAATCTCCCACTCTGCTGTAGATAACCTCTCTCTCCAGAGAAACCTCGCCATAATTCATCCCCGAATCTTCCTTTTCAAGGATTTCAGGGTTTTTTCTTAGACAGCAGAAGGCTTTTTACAAGTCTCCATAGCCAATTGTGAATACAGATTTTCCCTTAGAAACAAAGATGAGAACCAAACTAACTGGGCAAAAGGGATAAAACAGACCCCACGCCGCAGCGCAAATCCACGAGTCTTACTCTCAGAGGAAGCCTCGGGAGGGAAGAATTTTGTATATTCCTGTTGGCAAACGGCCTTTTGAGCAAGGCTTCTGTTATACACGATTCTCCTTTGCATCTATTGTGTTTTATAACCGGTAAATCAACATGGGAAGTGAATCCCACTTACCCACTTACCCACTTACCCTGAACGTAGACATAAACCACCGAGGCTGTGTCAGTGTCCCGGTAGAAGCACTTGTAGGCTCCAGTGTCATTTCCGATCACTTTTGGGATTGTGAGCGTCTTACAGAAGACGCCATCACTACACTCAGTCACCTCCACTCTTTTCTCAGAGCCACTCTGAGTGTTGGGCCAGAGCCAGTCCAAGTCCCTCTGTCCCCTGAAAAAGTAATTCCAGGGAAGTATTAATGAGAAATGCCACACTGTTTCTACATAGAAACACACTATTTCTACAAAAACAGAAGGTTTAGTTCTCAAATTTAAATAAACTCAACAGACAGGTTCAAAGTCTTCCACCAACAATGACAGGTTGGATCCACAAACGACAAAAAGGCATAGACTTGCCTGCAGAACTCACTTGTAAGGATTCCTGAGTTTTCTATTAATTAACTCATTCATTCAACAAATATACACCGAGCATGTGCTGTGTGCCAAATGTTGTTAAAGACTGGAGACACAGCAGTGAGCAAATGAGACAAATGTCAATCCCTGATGGAACCTGGGTCTAGTTGGAGGAGAGAGGCAGTAAAAAAGTAAGTAAGTAACTTCAATGAAGGGGAAATTTTTAAAAAGTAAGTAACATGAATGGCAGCAGAGGGTTGTCTGATACAGCGCTGGACGACGAAAGGAGGGTGCAAAAGGCAGGGTTCCGCTGCTGTTCATAGCGTCACTAGGAGTCAGAATCGACTTGATGGCACTAAGAACAACAAAGTAAAATGTATCGTATAAAAGGTACTATGGAGAAAACATAGAAGATGCAAAGAAAAGAGTGAAGAGTTTGAAGGGAGGGGGCTTGATGAAGCGGGCTACGTGAATATCAAGAGGAACAGTGTTGCAGGCAAAGGGAACAGTGTATGTAAAGGCCTTGGGTTAGTTGCATCTCTGGAGTATTACGGGAATGGCCAGATAAGAGTAGGCAAGTGGGACAGTAAGAAGTTAGGTGATTAGGAAGAAGGGGTGCAACTGTCTCAGAGCCTTGTCGGGCCTCGTAAGGACTGCATTCGGCCAGAGCCAGAAGCACAGACTACTTTTATTACAGCATTTCTCTAAAAGGCTCCTAGGAAGATGGTCAGCGTCACAAAGAATGTATCATCACCGACCCTTCATTCAAAGAATTTGAAATTTCCCACAAAGTTGCAGCGACATTAATGAAGTTACCTTTAATATACTCCATAGCTTTTTCAGGACATAAGAAATGTTTAGGCAGAGTTTAGAAGAGGAGGGGATAAAATCTTTGGGGATTTTAAACAACCTTTGTCGTGAAGGGTGGGTAAGAGGAAAATCTACTGAGGAATGTATCTTGAAAGAGAAAAGCTAGAGAAACAGCACCTGTTACTATGTTTTTTCTTAAGGGCTGGGTATTGATGACCTACCCTTGATAAGGGGCTAGGGTATCCCTTACACTCTGCAATCTAAAATGGACCGTATCACTGTGTGGAACACTTGGTCTTCATCAAGCATGAAGCAATGGCAATAAGCTGCCCGAGGTTCTCTGTGGCGCCCCAGCACTCCTTAAAGAGGAGGGTCACCTCCACCCATCATCCCAGCCAAAACACACTGGTCCTGATAAGCCTCTGGGTCTGTCATGCATAATCACTACATTAAACCCCAAGGTCTCCTACTTTTCCTCCTGGAGTAGGGGCTGGAAGGCAAAATTTAAAGGCCTATTCTTGTCAAAGAGGCCTGTTTCCCCAGCTAGCAAAGATCAATAGCATGACTTCTTGTTTGCAAGTGAGAAGAGAGGCATTCCAGAACATCAAGCCAGAGCATGAACTCCATTACCTGTGCAGAACATGCACTCGGTAATATTAATGGCCAAATATTAAATTGCTACTAGTCAGAATTTTATCACGAAATAAAGTTCTTGAAAAGGGCTAAACAGATGTCTAAGAGCCATTCTGAGTATAATAAATATGGCTCAAAACTTCTTTAACTCTATCCCTTAAGGGTATATCTTCAATTTCATTTATTCATTCAACATTTTATTTTATTTTTTTGGTGAGGAAGATTGGCCCTGAGCTAACATCTGTGCCAATCTTCCTCCATTTTATACGTGAGATGCTGCCACCGCATGACTTGATGAGCAATGTGTAGGTCTGTGCCTGAGAGCTGAACCTGTGAACCCCTGGCTGCTGAAGCAGAGTGCATGAACTTAACCACTATGCAACTTGGTCAGCCCCTCATTCAATATTTATCGAGTTTGTGCTCTATATCACATGCCAGGTCCTATACTGGTTATTGGGGTATATATATGTGTGTGTGTTGGCAGACAGGAGTAGAAAAAAATGCTAGCAAAATTGTATAGAATTTTTGAAAGAAGACCTTCCTCATTTTTTCATTACCAGATCAGTTCTTAGAAACCTCACTACTTATATACAATGACTACAACTCTATTATAATTCTGCCATATGGAAATTATTTTTCCCTCAATAAACAAGTTATCTAACACAGGAAATCTGAATCTAAAATGAAGCCTTACCTGCAAGTAATTTGCAGAGTTGTATTAGCCATAATAGTAAGTATGTCTTTTTGTATGCTGAGCCTGGGCGGATCAAGAGAAACACTAGACAAACCTAGAAACAAATTAAATAAATGAATGTAGTTGCCACTGAGTCAGACCCAATAGGAAACACCTTCCATAAACAATGCACACTCCATACTTTAAATGGCCTCTTCAGCAATTCATTGTGTAAAACTGTGAATTTACTTTTCACCATTCCCAGTAAAAGTTCACAAGCTGTGTCATAACAGGAAGAATGGGCAGATGGTCATAAACCAACACAACAGTTCTGCAATTCATGGAGCGAGGGTGGAGTTCCTGTTTTCCTGCATTGCCAACTTCAAGGTCTTACAAAAGGATATGGGACATTGAAATCAAATGAACCTCCATCTGATGATCTCACTCCCTTGGGAAAGGACCCACTGACATTTCTTATAAAACATAGGATGCACACAATCGACTAAATTGCTGATTAACGAATACTACTCAGAGACATTTCTACATAGTTCATCTCTGTAGCCTGAAGGGGGTGGGAGTGTCTATGACCTTGTCTTATTTTCCTTCACTAATTTTCTAGTTCACTTCCTCTAGTGACTGAACTGCCAAGGTTGAAAGACTGTACGTTAAAACTAGGTGAGAGGAACTGAGGAAAAGAAAGCACTTTCCAATGTCACATAATAAATGTATTAATATATTTTTCCTTAAGACCGGGACTAAAAAATACTGTAATTCTAATGAACTACAATTGGGGAATCTCGACTTATTCATCAAAGCTCTGAGCTCCTCTTGATACCAAGCTTGGAACACAAGAAACCTGTTTTTACCTAAAAATACCATGGGACAAATTCTTCACCATGGGTCACTCCACAGCAAGAAAACTGAGCTCTCTGTCAACTAAATGCAAAGAGTTCCCAGGTGTTGAAAAAGCATCAAAGAAAGGAAAGCTGTCCACCGTGCTTGGGTCTTAACTGATATCCAGATCTTCAAAACACCACCTTAAAAAGTGACTGATGCTCGGTAAGCATCCAACCTTCATATGATCCTTCACTCATATCAGCTAAGAACAAATGACTCCCTAGGCCTAAAGTGGCATTGACCTTGTTGGGTAAATAGAGTATCAGGAAAAACGAGAGGGTATAAGCAAACATCCAGTGCAAATATCCAATGCACTGAATCTGAGAACGCTAATGTGACCAGCTGCAGGCAAAGTGAACCACTGATCACGCATGTTCTCACACATTCACCCAGATGTGCAAAATAGGTTGCTGACATAAGTGTAGATTTGACAATAAATATCATAGTGAAAAAAAAAACCCTGGAAATTAAGCTATATCAATAAATCTTCAGGAACTAACTTGGCATTGGTACTGACGTGTGTTTGGGGCAAGGGTTCTTAAACTTTAGCACCTGTCAGAATAGCCCTAGGCTTACAAATCTGCATTTTAACAAGTATTTCAATGATACGTGGTCTATGGGCCACTCTTGGATAGCTATTGGTCCAGGTGGTCATTTTCAGTTAAATAGCATAGCGCTTTTCGATATGAAGGAAATAACTGCCCCCAGAGTAGGCAAACAATAAGGCAAAATGTTTAAAAGCAAAAGAAAAGCCTTCCAATAACGGATTCCCACTTTATCCAAAAAAAGAAAAATGAAAACAATTCATTTAGATGAGCACAGATATCAAACTTGACTGGGAAACACGAAGTTGAGAAACGTGCTGAAGACACTTGACTTAATACAATTTGCTCAATGACCAAATGAGAAAGAACCCATTGTTTGGGAACTCTCACGTGAGAAAAAAAATGACAGTAAAGACTAAGCTCTAAATACACTACGCCCACCCCACCACCAAAACAAGAGATTCTTGAAGATCTCTCATGAATTATTGCCACAGATTATCTCACACTCTAGACACACTGTCCAACATAAAAAAAAAAAAAGTTAAAGATATGTTCTCCATTCATAGGAAGCCAAGACAACACCACACTATTCTAGAGACATGTCTTCGACAAAAAAACTATTCAACGGGGCTATCCATAATAACTTCGGATTCGTATCTGTAGACCAACACTCAATTTTTTTTTTTTTTTTTTTTTTTTTTTTTTTTTTTGCTCCATTAAGCTTCATTCATTTTCACTGGCAAGTTTGAGTTCTACTTTTCAGAAAGTTCTAAAGAAATAACTATAAGAAGTACATATGCTGCTACTCAATAAAAAGCCCTTCTATGTTCAAATCCCATAACCAAAATTAATTAATTCGTGCACTATTACCCTTCCAGCTCAAAGACGGGAAGGAAAAACAACAGTGCCTCTGTCTCTAAAATTTGATGGCACCAATTATAACCCAATCCAATTAAGCAAGTCACACACTCCAAAGGGCAACCTCAGCGTTATATTCAGGGCAACCGGTTACTGTTACCACTGCTGCGCTATGAAACACCCCAGGCTTAAAAGAGACTCACTTCTTTGTGGGATACAGAACCACCACATGTTCCAGACCCTCACTCTCTCCCCATGAGGGGGGAGAGAGAGAGGTCTTGTCAGGGACAAATGAGTGTCCATGGTGGAGCCGGCCTGATGAACCAAGTCATTATTAAGAAAACTCAATAACTATAAACAGATGATCTTGGTACTGCATATGAGTGTGGATGTCTTTTTTTAAGCCACACGATTCCTTTCCTTCGATATAAGGAATTTTTTCCCTGAATTATTTGACTTTTTTTCTTTCTCCACCCTCTTTCCTTCCTCACTCTCCAAAGAGCGGGAATTAGCAAACGGTGGCTACAGAAAAGAGAGAAAGAAAAGGAAAGAGATACTTTATTACACCAAAAGCGTATGTGCTCCTAGTCTTGAACAGGACTGAAATTTTAGGTGGCAAGGAGAGTGACGAGTGGCGCTAATTCTAGCTACCAAGTCTCTCAGTGTAAGTTTTCAGAACGTGAACTTCTGACCACGCCTTTACCCCAAGGACCAAAGCGCTTTGAAAGATGTCAAAATGCTTTACAAAGGTGACTGACTTGCAGACACTTTGGGAACCTGTCACAGCCCCAGGTCCAAGCTCCAATTTCCCCTTCTCTCTGAGAGGCGAGCGGCATCCTGCACTAAGGGGAACAAACAGTTTCTCTCCCCTGGGAAGGATGTGGGTGTGTATGTGAGTTCGAGCCAGAGGGAACAGCAGAGCCCGAGATCCCGCTCGACTCCTACAGAGGCAGAGCTGGGAGCGCGGCGCGATCCGAGCGAACTGGCTTGCGCTCCCTGCAAAGCTTCCTTCCTCGCGCGCGGGCTAGGATGGTGCGCGCAGCCTGACAAAGTTTCACCTCCTGTTCCCGCCTGTAGGCACCTCCTGCCTGCCAGCCCCGGGGGGCCTTCCCACTCCCGCCTCCTGAGAGCCCGAGGGTGTGTCGGCTCCGCAGGACACGCTCCAGCCGAGACCCCTGTCGAAGACCCGAGTCGTGGAAAAGGAACTGGGCTCAAAGAGACCACCAACTCCCTGGGTGATCTTGAGCCAGTCACTGAGCCTGTTTCCTCACTGGGAAATGAAAGAACACAAAGTGTCAGGTCACCTTCCGCTCTCCAGCTCTCATTCCGAGTTAGATCCGGCCTCCAGGTCCTCTCCGCATCCCCATCTCTCCGCCCGCACCCGACCTCTCCTTTCAGGGAGTGGGCTCCTTACCCACAGAGGCAGCCCGGGTCTCCACGCAGAGCCACAGAGCGATGGCCAGCAGCGCCTTGCTCTCCATCCCGCACCTCGCGCCAGGAGCAGCGCCCAGAACTCGGACGCCGGTTCTTTCTCCCCGGGCCTGCCCCGAGAAGAAGGCGCGGACGGGGAACGCGCGCCGCAGCGCAAGAAGCACCCGCGCACAGGGCGAGGGTGCCCCGGCTCGGCCGCGGCTGCGGGGGTGTCTGCGGGCGCTGGTAGGAGAGGGTCTGGGCTTTCTGTAGTGCGCAAGTGATGTCCAGCGCAGGCAGAGGAAACACAACCATACACCGGCTGCTCTCCCGGGGTCCCGGGACTCAGTGCAGGGTGGGAGCCGGAGTCGAAACTCTAGAGCGTAGGGGCGGGGCTATGCGGGGCGGGGCCGGGGCGGGGCTCCCCTCGGTGGCCGGCCCCGCCCCTCAGCCGGGTACCCGGCTTAGATCCCGTGCTTCCCACGCTCGCTATATCTTCCTATCTCCCCACTTGATCTGGACTGCTCCTGGTCCCGAGTCGCCCCAGGGAGACGGTCGCGGGCGCTACAACTCCGTTTCTGGCGGATACAGAATGTAGCCGGTACCGGGCTCTGAGACGCTCCAAGATTCAGTCGGTTGCTGGCCCCTCGAGATATTGGGGAGCAACCCCGGGAACGCAGCGAGGGCCACTGCGCCCTCACGAGGCGCGCCAAAGTTTGGTACGGTCTTCTGCGCGGCGCGCGCCTGATGGGGCTGCGGGACACGCTGAGCATCTGCAGCAGGTTGAAGCAATGAGGGAGAAGCGGATACTGAGCCGAGACGAATGCAGGATCGCAAACTCGCAGCGACTCCAGCCAGTACGAGTGTTTTGCTTGCCAGCATCGCTGTAGTTGACAAAATCTGAGTATGAATGCCTTTAGTCATAGTATACACTAGCCCAGTTCGCCAAAGTTTCCGCTATTTCCTCTTATACCTGGCGGCTTCAAATGTTAACCGCCTAGCCCCAAAAGGCGTTTAAATTTGAGACCCTCTATCTGGCCTTTACCGAAAACCTACCTCCAAGGAGCTGGAGGTTCCCAGGGCTCTGGGTACCCGCGGCGTGAGAGTCCCCCGTCCCTCAAGTGAGACTGTCCTTGAGAAAGGCCTTTTGTCTACCGTGTTACCTGACAAGACGCCCTGGCGTGACTCTTCTTAGGCGTTTCGCCAGGCGCCTTTTCAGAGCAGAACTTCCAGCCATGATACCCTTAGGACGAGGGGAAGGAGGCCCGGCCGCGGTGGGCTTCATTGGAGAAGCAGTGAAGCGAAAGCTCCCAGACCCTGGGCGCCCAGAACACTCTGTACCAAACCTCAGGGCTCTCTCTGCACGTTTAGACTCCTTGTGGCGCTGCTAGGAGGAGAACGCAGATTCCTTTCTGATCACATTTGCTCTTTCTTCTTTTCTCTCCATTTCTCCCCACAGCTGGGAAGTGACATCAAATGTGCCCTAACCTCACTAATTCGGGATTTTTCCAGATCCCTCTGTCTCTTACTTCCCAGGTGCCTTTTAATGACAACTTAAAGGACCATCCTTCAAGGAGATGGAGAGGTAGAATTATTATTTCTACATCTAGTCCAAGCCCCTCCTCCTGAAATGCACAATTAATGTATAGTGTTGCTTTTCTTCTGCTACTTTTTTATATTCACTGTATTTACTCTGCTGCTTTGCTAGATTGACAATTGAAATACTTTAACTGAAATATAGTGAACATATATGGTTAAATTTTTTTTTTAATATAAAAAGGTTTAGAATGAAAAACCCTTGCTTTGGCAGAGGCAGGTATTTTTACCTTTCCTTCTTTTCCGAGCAAATTCTGTGCACATATAAGTATATTTCCCTCCTTCTTCCACAAAGAGTAGCCTTGGTATAAATACTGTTTGAGTGTTGGCTTTTTTCACTTTAAAGTACAACTTGGAGACCGTGCTACATCAACCCTTAAGGCTCCATCTTGTTCTTTTTATAGTTCCACTATATAGACTATTACTGTTTAATCTAGGAAGCATTTATTTGTCAGGGGCAAGGGTATCCTTAAAGAAACTCCTCTCTTCCTGCTGGTAAACTTAGCAAAGAAAACAGGATGGGCTCTGGCAAAGCTGGATAAGGGGGAGGGCGCTGGAACCTGCTTTGGAGAAGGCAATTTTTCTCCACCTCCATTTCCAAACCATTCTTCTCTCAGCCTTATTTACAATTCATGACACTTCCTCTTCCACATCTCACTTAAGAAGATAGTGTCTCCTCTGAATGCAAACCAGAACCTGCAGGCCCTGTAGTAATAGCCCCCTTTAGAAGTCTTGGAGGAAATGATGCGTCTTTGATGGCCGCAAGACCAGAATTTGGCAGGGTCTCAATGAAATCAGTCGACCACATTCCCTCCCACACAGCACTTAGAAGTGCCTTGTGTTCATGAAAAATGACAAAGTTTGTTTAAAATAAAAAAAGTCTGTTCCATGTAGAACACCCTCCCATTATCTGGCACCACTGCAAAGGAGTGCTGTAGGGAGCTGATCCGGCAGAACAGGTAGGACCACAAGCTATGGAAGTGCCCCTGTGTGCTCAGTGCTCCATATGGTTTTCAGACCCGTTCGGAGCAGGGAAGCAGTAAAGAGTGGTGCTGAGCACACAGACTCTGGGGCCACCCTGGCTGGGCTTGATTCCCACATCTACCCCTTACTATCCGTGTGATCTTGACCAACTTACTGGGTGCGTGTCTTCCAAACACAAAAGATGATAACAGTACCTTCTTCGTAGGGTTTTTGCAAGAATTAAATGCATTACTGCATGTAAGTCACTTAGAATAGGACCTAACACCTGGAAAGCACAGGCACCTAGCACATAGTAAGCACCGATACACATTAGGAAACATTCTGCAAGGGTTAGTTATACTACAATGCACAGTTTCCTTCGTGCTGCTGAGATCTAAGTTGCAAATGAGGCTCATTCCTTCAATAACGGCTTTTGAGCACCTACTATGTGCTACGCACTGTGCTAGAGACTTAGGGTTACAATGGTGAAAATAAAGGCAAAGTGAACATAAATGAGCTGTCATCACAATAGCTCCATCCTAAGGCAAATTTAACTTATTACAGAGTACTCTGTATCTCCAGCTACTTCTCTGGGCTTTGTGCACGCAGAATATGCATTGTTCATATCACCAAAGCGCACTGCATAAATTACACTCCGTGAAGCCAAATCTGGTTCCATCGCCACCAGTATTTTGCACTTCATATCTTAAAAAAATAAATATGAAGACTAGCAAAATGTTAATAATTGTGGAAGTTGGATGATGTGTACTCAAGGGTTCGTTTTACTATTCTCTCTACTTTCACATGTTTGAAATTTTCCATAATTAAAAAATTTCTGTTTTAAGTAATTATAATGAAAGTGATGCCCGGTCTAGTACACTACTACTGACTTTTCCACAATCAGTGTCTTGACATTACCTCTGGGAAATGGTTGAGGCAGAGAGGCAGGTGGATGGGAATTTGCACTTTTTACATCATATATTTCTATAACGTTTTTCCAAAACACGCAAGTATTGCTTTTACAAATAAAAATAGAAATCAAGATCCACTCTCTCTTCTAGGTACTGTTATATTTTCAAATATTGCCATTTGTTGATTACATGTTTCATGACACTTTTATATGTTTACGTCATTTAGTTTGCTTCCAATATTTGCTTATGCTGTAACTTACCGAAGCCCATGACTGACTACCTTACCAGATGTTGGCTCGATTTCATAGCCAATCTATACTCATGACTATCATGCCTCGGGAAATTATGAGCACACTCTTTATCTCTCCTTATCTACCTTCCTTACACACCCATGTTTACTTTACTCTCTGTGTGATTGCTATTTTTAACTTAAACTTAATATATTTGTATGTACAAGGAAAAGAAGGCTATGTCACCACAAAGCCAGGCTTGCCTTGGATGTTTCTATCAGTGTTTGATTTTATTCATAAAGTCTTACATTCTAATCAATACAAAACAAAGTCCCCCATCCTTTTTGTGAAACAGATGAAACAGAACTTCATTACTTGCCACCTGCAAAGGAAAAATCTGTTACTATAAATATGTACACCTCTGTGCCCTCTCCAACTTCTCCCATATAATTTCTTGTTATATCTACTATAAGAACAAATATATAAATTTTAAAATGTGGAAAGCATGCAGGGAATTTAAATAATCAACTGAAAATCCACACAGCACCAGAGAAGGATGTTAGAAAATAACAAAAGAAGCCAACACTCATTGAGCACATCTTTGAGCAGGCACTGTTCTGAATGCTTCGCTTTATCCCTGGCTTCATCCTCGCAACACCCCATGAGAGCAGCAAGCGCTATCAGGAATTCTTAGTTAGGAAGAGAAGGAAAGACAAGAAATTACTTACGTCTAAATTAAGGAAGTGTTCCTTTGTCTTCCTAAAAGTCTTGCAACAACAAGAAAAAAATGTTGTTTTATCTGTTTGCAAACAACCAAACCATAGTTTTCTTGCCATTGGTTAATAGGATGAAAGTGAAGACACTCTTTGCTTTTTAAAAGAAGAAGAAGAGGAAGTAGATTTTTGGAGCACTTATTATGTGCTGGGTATTTTACTTGAATTATCGTACTTTAATGTTCACAGTAATTTAATGGAGCAGAAGCTATAATTATTCTCATGTAACAGTAGGGGAGGAGAGATGAGATTTAGAAGGTCTCAGTAACTTTTCCAAAGTCCCACAACTATAAGGGGTAGAATCAGGATTTAAAAGCAGGGGGGTATTAAATGTCCAAGACAGACTTCTCCAAGGACGTACAGACGGTTTCTCATTGAGGACTGGTTTCTTTCAAGGGATGAGGTTGAGTGAATAGATGCCATTGGCTTCCTCAGCCTCTCCACAATGATAACTTCCACTTTCCTAGGTGGATAGAAGGCCAAGTGACTTAGGAGCATCACTCTGGGATGGATGACCAAGGAAAAATGAAAGACAGGTAATTAGATCTCTTCCCCGACCCACCCAGGAATTCCAGCCAGTTGGATATTTCCCTTCTGCCTAACCCCTGAGCCACTGATCTTCCCCTCCAAAGGAGAGCAGTGGCTCCTATGCACATAATCACTTGTGCATTGGGGGCATTTTTTTCTGCCTTTTGTCTTTAGTCTCCTGGAGAACTTTCATTCATCCTTCAATACCCAGCTCAAACAGCCTTCCCTAGTGATATGTTTCAGCTTTTTATTATCTTCTTCAACTGAGACCCTCCCAGTCGAAATAGGCAGAGGTTGAATCTTACCTAAGCAGGGAGTTGAGTTTAGAAGGATGATTGTTAAGGTATAATAAGGATGGTGAAAG